ATTGAATCCTGGTGGCTATAATGGTCATTTTTCTGGTTTTGAGGTCAATATTTTTTCGGTTTTTTTGATGGATCAATGGATCGATGGATTTCAGCTAATCCATCGATGAATAATGTTCGATCGATCAATCGATTGTTATCGATTATTATCGATGACAGCCCAAATAATGATGATCAATAATCAATCACTAACACACAGGTTAAACCGATAATGATTAACCAAGCAAAAAACTCCAGCTGGTTATTTTGGTTTTTAACCCGAAAAAAAAGTTGTCATTTTGTGATTCTTTTGTTGTTGTTGTTGTTGTTGAGAAAATCCATCCATTCAACAACAACAAAAATTGATTATTTTTCTGAAAATCTATTTTTTGATCCATTAACATCATCATAATCGAATTTTAGCTGATTTGATTTTTCCATCCGATCCATCCATCATCATCAGTGATTGATTGAATCAATGATGCTAAACATCCATTTTTTTTTGTATCTAATCTTGATTAAAAACATTATCGATAACTTAATCCTTTTTAGATAATGAACAGATAAGGATTTTAGAAAAAACCAAGCTTATAGCTTGTTTAGCTTCTGTTTATTGAAATCCATCATTCATCAAGTCTATTATATGAACAACAACAAACATGCAGATATTGTATCCATTTTACACACTAACCTCCATTCATAAATGATCTGAATGTATTGAAAATCTAAATAAAGAAAAAACTTGATTATCATCATCATCAGGGGATACCCTATTAGATTATTATTACTTTTTTTCATAGTTGGTTAATCAAGCTAAAGAAATTAATAATTTTTTTTCCATTGATCTAGGTTGGTTGGTTGTTTGTATCAGATTTTGCTGTTGGTTTATCCTAACCACATTTGAATTGAGGACAAGTGTGCGCAGGCAAGACAAGGATGGGAAATTCTTTTTGATCTTCGTTGATGATGATGTGTATGTATGTCCCGGTAAAACAAAAGAAATTAAAGAAGCTAGCCTTTTTTTACTTTGCTTTGATTCAAACTTTCTTGAATTGAATATTTGCCATTAACCATTCATTCATTCATTCAAAAAATCGGCCCGGATCAACCAGCCATCCGTTTGTTTGTTCGTTCATTTGATCATAATCATAATGATAATCATCATCATCAATGGAAAAACAAGAAGAAAATACAACAACAGTAGCCCAAGAAATGATGGGAGCGAAAATCTGCATTTTCCATTTTTCCATTCATTTTTTCATTGTTCTCTTCTTTTGATTGATCCCATTAATGAATTTATGTTTTTTTGGTTTTGCAAAATCTCTTTACATTCAAAATCTTAATATTTTTTGTTTTCAGGTTTAGAGGGCACATATCGCCATCATTCATTATGTGCTGGGTTTTTGTTTCGTTTGGTCTTTTTTTTTCGTTGATTACCACCTCATTATCATAGATGATGATGATAAACGAAAAACAATAACCAAAATCTGTTAATGAAGATGGATAATTGTTTTGATTTTTTTTTATCGTGATTAATGAATTCCCTTTGCGCCCAGCTTCTTTATTTTCTTTTTTAAAAAAAATCTGGTTCAAACCAAAAAAAGTCAATCAAGATGAACATTGCTCTAAATTGATCAAATGTTTTGGTCGGTTGGTTGGTTGATTGGCCTGTTTGAATCATTTCTGATTGAATGATTATTTGAGGTAAAATGTTTTTGAAAAAAAAAATCGATTTAGCAAAAAAATTTAAAATGTCAACAAAAAAAACAGTAGCAATTAATTTGAATTTAAAATTTAAAATCATTTAAATTTAATTATATAAAAACTTTTAAAAATGAAGGTCAGGAATTTTCCTGAGAATTGTTTACTTCAACATAGTTACTTATTTACTGAATGTCTGTTTTGCTTTTCTTTAATCCATTTTGCTTTTTGCTTTTTTTTTGTTAATTTCCAATGAAAAACATGATTATAATGAAATGAATGAATGATAATTATCGATTTTATCGAACTACTTAACTCTTTATCTCCATCGATCGATCGAAAAAATCAAAAAAGATACATTGATAATTCTGCAAAAACATGACGCCCGAATTTTGTTGTTGTTGTTGTTGTTGAAAAGAAAACATCCGTTTATTTAATCCATAACTGAAATGAATACTTATCATCATCATCATCATCATCGGATCGATGAAACTTGATATTTTCGAAACGAACTTGATATTCACATTCATTTCAATCAATTCAGTAGCAAAAAATCAATGCTAATAGCCGAATCGTGATGTCTTTATCATTTCATATCATTCAGATCAGATCATATCGTCGACTATTTTAACAACAATAACAATGATAATGAAGACTTATCAGTTGATCACACACAAATCTTGATTGTCCGGAAATTCCATTTTACCATGTCCATTTTTTCATTTTGTCATTTTTTTTCTATTCGAAAGTTTCACTTTGCGACTTGACTTGAATTGGCGATTTAACCTGACCGAAAATAGGCATTCAAAAGAGAGAGAAAGGAGAAAGTTGATCAGAACATGAAAATTATGAATTTTTTTTAAAAAAAACTTCGAGGAAATGGAAACAAAATTGAATGGATGACATTTTTGTTTGTCTGTTCGAAGATCTAAATTCATCGTTTTTGGTCATATTTGGTATTTTATGTTTAAAAAAAAAAATAATTATAGTCATCAATAAGCAGAAGAAAGGAAAAAACTTTTGAAGCAAAACGATTTTTCTGTGTGTGTTTTTATGGACAAAATCAACAACAAAAAAATCCAATGTTTTTTTTCTGCAATTTTGGTCCATTTTGTTTAACAAATATGGATTGTTTTTTCTTCTGTTGTTGTTGTTGTTGTTGTTTTCCTGTAACATTTTCTTTCCACAATGGAAAAAGCGAAACACGTGAAAAAACGGTGAAACGCACACCCAAAGCAGAAAATTGCTACATTTTTGAAAAAAAAATGTAGCAAAGCCCACCCAAAAAACGCCCAATAATCAATATGATCATCATCATTAAAAGGAAACATATTTTCTTTTTCAATTTCGAGGAGTGGCTGTTTTTTGGGCGTCGTCTGCATCATTATCATCATCATCATCGACATCATCATCAACAACAAATTTACCTGTGCTTTTTGATTTACCTGTGTTTTTTACAAATGTGATTAAAACACAGTCTTTATCATCAAACGTTTGGTAATTTGATCAATAATAATAATAATAATGATTTCTAAAATACGATTAGGCAAAGTTTTTTTGAAAGGTTTTTTGACTTTTTGAATGTTGTTCCGCATCCAATCGGATTGATTTCGTCAATTTCGTTGTAATTTGATTGAAATCGAAATGAATTTTTTTTATTCATTTTTGAATATTTGTTGTTGTCAATCACCGACGACCACAAATCAGAAATGAAAATCTTTCATTTAGCCAAATCGCATTGTCTATTGTTTTTTCATCGAGATACTTTCCTTTCGATCTATTTTGTTGTTTTGGCCGAAAATGTTGTTGTTGTTGTTATTGACCACACAACATTTGTCCCCGGTGTTGATAATCGTCTCAAATCGATCGATATTATTGAACTGATGATGATAACGATTGAACTTTTTTGTATGTAACATGAATAATGTCATTTTGTACACAAAGACAATAGACACCAGCGATAATGATGATGATTTCATTTCAGGTCGAAAATCAATCGATCGATCGATTGGCCTCAAAATTTTTTCAAATTTCAATCGATTGAAATTCGATTTGGAAATTTTGAAAATGAATAATCCTGTTGTGTTTGAAATCACAGGTTTTTGCTATTAATGGAATCGAAATCAATCGATGAACAGCAAGGCTGTTTGGTGAATTTTTTGGTTTGCCAAAATGAAAATCTATTGCTTCTAATCTCGATATCATCAACATCAGATTGAACCAGTTTTTGCATCGCTTTTTTCCGTTTTTCATGTCAAAATCAAAAATGATGATGAAATAAACGTGAAAATCTAAACACGATGCACATCATTATTAACATCATTTAAAAATCGGGCTAGATTTTCGATCGATCGATCGATTATAATCGATTTTAACCACCGAAAACAAAATCATCGATCGTTTTGATCATCATCTTAATCGAATAAATGATTTAAACTGACGATAATCTTGAGTGTATCATTAATTATCGTCCGCATCATCACCATCGCCATCATTATTCGGATTTCAGGTTTTTTTTTCTTCAATCCTTTGATTAACCCAAAAGGGAAAATCATTTATTCGCTGATTGATCGACGCCGGTTTTCAATTCAATTTTGTTTTTCCCTATTGTTTCAATCAAATTTCATGCTTTTCAAAATTTCAATAATTTTTTTTCTTTCTCTGGAAAAAAACAAAAAAACGGCACCGACAATGATAATTGGATTTTTTTTCACTTTTCAAAAATGAAAAAAAAACGAAATTTTTTATTATCCAGGTACCTGCAGGTATGATATGATAATTAATGTTCAATTCGACAATAATCTCCACAAAAAGACAGCCAGACAGGTAAAAATCCTGTTGTCGACAAGCAAAATTGTCAAACGAAAATCTGAAGAAAAAAAAACTTTACCGACCGTTAACGATAATGGACACTTTGGATCGTGTTTTGTTCGGTTATTTGAATTTTTATGGAAATTTGAAACCGAAAATCATACCAGACAAAACTTTTTTTTCTTTTTTCTTCGGTGACATGAATGTGATTTGCTACAAAACATTTTGCCATCATCGTCATCATCATCATCACTGCCGGTTGTTTTCATCCATTCACAGTGAAAAAAATCAACGAACCAATTTTGGTCATTTTGTTTTATCGTCAGCCATGCGAAACGACGTTCACATATTGTTCTCGTTTTTTCGTCATGTCCAATTTTTTTTTGATGAAATTTTCCTTTTTTTTTGAATTCAAAATTCAAAATATTCAAAGAATGTCGAATGCAAAATCCTAGATGGCACCGTTAGTGTCGTTTTGAATCATTTTAGTAAACTTGATTAACTTGCATCGTATGAATGATAATTTGAGCGAATTTTCGATTCGATTGCATAAGAATTTCAATTTTTTTTGCGCAAAAAACATCATGGAAAATGATAATGACAATGATGATAATGGGGGTTCGGAAATTCCGAACGAATCTTCGAAAGATCCGGAATCATCGAATGATCATTTGTCCACCACCACCATTATCAATAAAACAATATTACCCGAACCATTGACAAAACTTTTACCACCAAAAAATATTTATTTTATTGAACAAATGAAAAATGGTTTATCAATAGCAAATATTTTGATTAATGAAAAAAATCGTCTGATTTTTGGTCGTGCACGTGATTGTGATATACCAATGGATCATCCATCAATTTCACGTTATCATGCCGCTTTATTATGGGCACCAAAAAATGATGATGATTATAAAAATGGTTAGTTTTTTCGATGATTGATTTTTGACATTTATTTGACGTTTTCTTTTCTTTTTTCTCATTTTAAAAGGTACAAATACCGAATCTTTTTGGTATCTGATTGATTGTGGATCAACACATGGAACAATTTGTAATAAAAAATCAATTGATCCAGGGAAAATGATAAAAATAATTCCGAATAATAATGTATTTCGTTTTGGTGCTTCGACACGTTTGTTTACATTAGGTTCTTCACATGAAGATTCGAATGATGATGATTCGGATGATTCAAATGAAGAATTGAACAATCAACAAGTTACCAAACGAACCAAAGAAGAACAAGATACTGATGATGCTTGTACATGGGGAATATCATTAACCGATTGTACTGAAGATGATGATGAAGAAATTGGTGATAGTTTAGCGCTGAAATCCATAATAATGGCCATGAAAGATGGTCAATCATCATCATCAACAACATCAAAATTACAATCAACAAATGAAAATGTTTATTCTGATAATCCATATAAATGTCTTCAACAATGGTTTGAAAATGAAGGTTATGATTTTGATTATAAAGTAGATTCATTACATAATAAATTTAAATGTACATTCGATCTGCCTATTGATGGTCAATGGATACCTGTTGATGGACAATTAATGACTAGGAAAAAAGAATCAATTCAAGATGCTTGTTTACGTTGTTGTCGATTACTTGATCAGGCAAATTTATTATTTGCTTGGCAACGAAAAGATTCGGCTCGTGAAAAAGCAAGAAAAGAATTCTACAATAATGATGATGATGATGATCTTCTGGATGAAACAATTAAACCGGCAACAAAAAAACTTCGAAAAGATTCTGAAGGAAAAATTGAAACTTATGATTCATTGAATTTAAAATGGAAAGAAATCAATCAAGAATTATGTCAACTAAAAGTTCGTTTAGCTCATATCGGTTTAGAGCCTGGTGTTACACCAGAAATTTCACAAGATTTAATCGGTGATTCATTAGATATTTATATGAATTCATTGAATCAAAAGAAATATGGTTTAAGTATGAATGAAAAAATTGAAAAATCCAATCTAAAGATTAAAATCAAACAATTGGAAACGGAACAATCGAAAATTGAAAAATTAATTCAATTAGCTCGACCAGCTGAAATTGTAATGAAAAATTTAACAACATCAACTGAACCGACGAAAGAATCAAAAAATGATGAAAATGCGATACAAATGGAAAAGAAATTGATCAACAAAGAAGAAGAATCGAATGAAAAATTTATTGAATCCTCGAAGAATTCAGTGGCAGATGATAACAGTGATGGTAAAAGTGAAACTGTTGAAAATTCATCGAATTCAGAAAAGAAGAAAAATTATAAAGAATTTCGTAAAATTCGTCAACAATCAACAATTGAAGCAATTGAACGTGAAAAACGTTTAGAAAAACAACGTCAACAACAACAACAAAAGCAACAACAACTACAACAACAATCAATCGAAACGGATGATGATTTTGTTGATTTGGTTCGATTGGATCAACAACAACAGACCGGTGATGGCCGTACCCATCTTAATGAAAAATTTGGTTATTGAACAACGGACCCTATATACCGACGACAAAATTTCCTTATTTTGATTTTATCAGGTAAGAAAAAGTTACTTATAATTATTTTTAATTTAGTTTTTTTTTCACCAGATTTCTGTTCCAGGAAAAAGAAGGGGAAAAAACGAACAATTTTAAATTTGATTTTCTACAAATCACTAAATCGATTAACATTGCTTATTGTCATCATTGGTTAGTTGCTTGAATCAATTCGTCGTTCGTCAAACAGCCGAATCCAGTTTGTATCTCTTTCTCTCTCTCTATCGCTGTTTTCTCTCTCATCTCTCTCTCTCTCTATTTCTGGATTCGAATCCAAAACGGTATATATGATTCAATGTTTACATTGAATTCGGTTGTATTATCAATGTGTGTGTGTGTTTACAAAGTTTTCATGCTCATTTTTTTTCAAAAAATAAACACAACAAATTTTGTTTGGATTTTCCAATGGCCATTGATGATAAAATGAATAACCTTTCAATGATGATTATTATTTGATTAAAAGTATTTTGATTAATCTCAAAATCAAATCAATCATCGATTCAATTGTTCATCATTAGATCACACAGGATTCGCTGCAGGTGTAAAAAAGAAATCTCCAGCCGTTTAAAAAGATCAAAGTCACCATCATCAAAACATCAAACAATTTTGCTAAGATTTCCTTCAATTGTGTTTGGTGTTGTTCAACTTTGAATTCAAACAAGACAACAATTTATTATCTCTTTTTCTGTGTTTGTATTTCTAGATTTTCAATATTGAACAAAAAAATTTATGTATGTCGAATTTTTTCGTTTTGTTTTGTTTGAAAAAAGTTGTTTCTCTCCTTTTTTTTCGCTTTTACCACTTTGTCATCATCATCGAAATCTTAAAATTTTTTTCTTTTGAACAATGTCGTTGTCAGTCAGTTTTCCTTAAACATATTTTTTTTTCGTTTGAAATTAATAATTAGTCATTCATTTTTTTTTCTGGAGCGAAATATATATTGTAGATAATTGTAGTTCGAAAAAACAAAAAAGTTTTTCCATTTGCAATAAGTCACACACATGCAAATCAAGCAGATAAACAAACACACCAAAAATATTTTCACAAAATTTAGGTAATGTCAGTTTGTCTGTTTGTTTGTGTGAACATACCATCCTTTTGTAATTGATGAATTTTTCTGTGTAATTTACGTCCACAATTTTCTACGTAACATCTATTTACGTCCATCATCATCATTATAATTGATTTTTTTTTCTGGAATCTCAATTTACTTTTCATCATCATTATCGATGCAATAAAAATACCAGTTTTTTTTTGTTCAACCTTCAATTTATTTAAATATAAAATCAATCAATTTTCAATCATCATTATCGATTATTTGTCGATAGTTTTCAATCAGCGATCATCATCATCATCATCATGTCGATTGAACAACAATTTGATGCTGCTGTTAAAGTTATACAATCATTACCTAAAGATGGTAAGATTGCCCAAAAAATTTCAAATTAATTTTTTGATTAAAATTCACCAAAATTTCCTCTTGTTTTCCATTAAATTTTGATTAACAGGATTTTTTCAACCATCCAATGAAATGAGATTAAGATTTTATGCATTTTTTAAACAAGCAACCGAAGGACCAAATCAAACAAAAAGACCTGCATTTTATGATATTATTAATCGTTATAAATGGGATGCATGGACAAAATGTGGTCAAATGTCCAGACAAGAAGCAATGCAATTATATGTTGATGAATTGAAAAAAGTTATCGAAACAATATCAATGACACATGAAGTATCTGAATTTTTAGATTTGCTTGGTCCTTTTTATGAATTTTTACCCGAAGAAATGACCAATGATGCTAATAATAGCAAAAATGATACCAAAATGAATGGTTCTGCCGTAGCAGTCGCCGACGATAATAATCAAGTGTTAACAACAAAAATGAATGATGAAAATATTAATGGCCAAAATAATCAAATAGCTACGAGTAGGTTTTGATTTTTTTTATCTCCCATAATTTCAATCCTCCATTACATTCCATTGATCTTTGATGCATGATATTTTTGTTTGAAATACAATGAACCAAAAAAAAACCTGAAGAACCAAATCACCTAGAAACTTTTTCACAACCAAAGATAATTTGATCTACTACCCAAAAAATATAGAATTTTTTACATTAAATTTTAATACAAACGAAATGATGATAATAAAATAAAAAAAGATGCTAATTTTGTTTCAATTTTTCTCTTTTCTTTTTCTCTTCGATGCGTTTTGTTGCGATTGATTTTAGCCAATCATTTGACAACCATTTATGATAGTGATGGTGATGAATTTACCGATACAATCGATTCATTATCACCACGACATGAACAAAAGCCGAAAATATTTCCCAATACATTTGATAATGATGATGATTCAATGATGATCAATACTGATCAAAACTGTGACGAATCATCAACGATTATCAACAACAATAACAATCGTCGACCTAAATTAACAACAACAACGAATCAATCATCACTTGGTTTCAATGAACAATTAGCTGTTGCAATATTTCAATTACAAAATTCATTGGATCGTATAACGAATCGTGTTAGAAAATTAGAGCAACAGCAGGTCACCATTATTAAACAACAAGAAGATCAACAACAGTCATCATCTTCTTCCGGTAATAAATGGCCTTTAAGTGAATTACGTCCACAAACAGCAATATTCTTATTGACATGGCCAATGGCAGCATTTTTTATATTAAATTATCTGCAACGTTTGCGTAAAAAATGATGGATTCAATTCAAATCAAATCAATCAATCAACCACTCACAAAGTACTCAATCAGTCAATCACTCAATCAAATCAAATGAAAGATTCATTTGTTTTCTGTATCAAAGTCGTCGTCAAAAACGTTTTTATATTTATTAAACAAAAATGATAATAAAAATCAATAATTTTGTTTTGTTTTGTTTTGATTCATTCAAATATTATTGTTACTGTTATTGTTGTAATGTTCAATGATAATCTATTTAAAACGATTATTATTATTTTATCAATAAAACAAAAAGGAGGAAGAAAATTTGAAAATTATTTTTTAAAAATTTGTTTGTTTTTTTGATCAATTCAAATCATTCAATTTGATTATTGCCTATCGATTATGATGATGATTATTATAAATTTAATGATGTCTACATTGAATTAATAATGATAATGATGAGTATTCGTACAATTTATGTTATGTTTTTTGTTTATATTTATGAAAAAAATGTATGTTTATTTCTCGTTGTTTCTAGTTATTATTATTATAAAAGCATTCGAAATTTTTCTTATAAATCTAATAAAATTCTTACTTGATCACCTCCTCTATCACAGGAATATTTTTCATTCAAAATATAATAACAATAATAACAAAATTCTTGGTTTTACTTGTGTTGTTTATGTTTGCGGTGTTTGGTGTGTTTGCCTAAAAAAATTTTGGATGAAATTTTAAATTAGTTGAAATTTAATTCGAAACACTCATACGATTATTCCATATATTATTTTTACCATTATTATTACCACCATTATTATTATTAGAATTATTGTTACTATTACTACTACCGCCGGAACTCCAATCATGTGTTCCTTGTATCGAAGTATAATGTTTACTACTTGTTTTATTAAATACTGGCAATAATTCATTTGCTTCACTTGATAAAACTTTTAGATAAACAATTGCATCAGTACCATAACCTTCTAATGATGATATAACTAAATCACCTTGTAAATAACGTGCATATAATCTTGATATTGGTAAACCATAACCATAACCAGCTAATGGTGCTGAATTCATACCCGATGCTGATGGTTGTGGTGCTGTTGAATACATATATTGAAATAACATATCACGTAATGAACGTGGTATTCCACCACCTTTGTCACAGATCTGATATTTGCAGGAGAAAAAAAAATGAAAAATTTGAAACTCTATCAATCAAATTTTACCTTAATAGTTAAATCTTCTTTGGCCTTAACAATAATTGTTTTGATTGGTGGTAGATCATCATCTTCATTATGTGATTCAACAACAGCACGCATTGCATTTTTATACAATTCAAATAGTATATGATAAAGATGTGATGGTGTATATACTATTGATACTGGACCATTTGGATCTTGTCCATTTATTGTTTCAATATCTATACCCGGTGATGTTAGATAATATTGATCACAAAGAAAACGTGCATTATCATATGCATCATAGGCAATTGCTTTTACATCGCACTATTTGGGGAAATTAGAAAAATTTATTAAATTGAAAAAACATTGAATATTATGACAACATACATGTGGATCAATACAACCAATATTACGTGGACTTTGATTATTGAGATCAGAACCAAACAATGCAGCATGTTGATTGATTAACATACGAATCGATATACGACTCATATAGAAACGATTTAGAAAATATTGTATACAATGTTCAACATGTTGATCAACCAATGTTGATTGTTTTAATTCCAATATTCCTTGTGCCATTGTTTCGACAACATTCGAATGACGATTACGTATTTTGATTAATGTATCACAAAATAATTCCCGTACTTCGGATGAATCTGGTGATGCACTTTCAAAATTAAGTATTTCATCAAAACTACGTTCATACCAGCTATTAACCAATTCAACTGATGGCATTTCCAATAAACGATTTGGTAATAAATGTAATTCTTTCATTATATTTGCTAAACGAACTGGTAATTCTTTACGTAAAAATAGGAATGATGTTTTTTCACATTTTTCTTGACCTTTGATTTGTAAATGAATGAAAAAATTAATGAAAATGACAAGGAAAAAACATTACATGATATTACCGAATTGAAGAAATTTTTCAATCGAAAGTGGTGATGGATTAAAACGTGAATAAAAATCCACCTGTTTAAGTACTTCACGATAAAGTATTCTTGTTATTCTCATTTTTGTTCCAGAAAGGGAGATTTTTATTTAAAATTTTATTTATTTTGGTTGGTTGTTGTCACAATCGAATCAAAATATGAACTAATTAATTTGATTGATTGATTGATTGATTGTTGTTTAGTATTTTGTTGTTGTTGTTGTTATTGATTGATTGATTATGATCGAACCATAACAATCAGATGATTTTGATCATTCGATAAATAAATAAAAAAAAATCAAAAGATAAAATCTTAAATTATCTCATATGATGTGATCATGTAATCATCAATTATTAGGAAGAAAAGAAAGAACCGAAAATGAAATTTTTCTTTCTTATTTGCTTGGCACGATCTGATTGAACTTTGGTGTTCTGGTGTTTATTTTCATTGATTTATATATCAACAACAACACAGAGTCAGAAAAACAATGTTGATGATGATGACAACTGAAAACGTACGTCCTTGTTATTTTAACGATGATGATGTATGATGTATTGTGGTGCAAATTTTTATCTTCTCTTTTCTCTCTTTTGCTGAATCTTTATAGAAATTTTCTTTCTGATCGAAATCTTTTTTCAAATATGATAAAAAGAGAAATTAACAAACAAACAAACAAACAGCAAACAAAAAAGTACATTAACAGGGGTTACTCCCGATTACGAAATACAATAAAATTGAATTAAAAAATTGAAAAATTTAATGTCGAATGTTTCGCTGGTGGTGGTTTTGTTTGAAAAACAATAATGTTTTGATCATTATCAAACAATCAAGAGAAAAAATATTTTTTCGAAAATGTAGATGATGATTTCAGATGACGAACAAAATGTTGAAAATCAAACAAAACCGAAAATTATGACGGAATTAACTACGTCATTCCAACCATGGATTTTTTTCTTTGTTGTTGAGATCCGATATCATTGAAGAAAAACACACCGCACACAAAACACACATACATTTGCTGTTATGATTGGCCAAAAAAATAATATGATGAATTAGAGAATTGAACAAACAAACAACAAAAAAAAGGGGACAATCCACGTTGAATATGTGCGCAAACACAAATTTTGAGTCAGTTCATGTGTTTCATAATCTTTCTCTCACGATTTTCTCTTTTTTTCCACTCGATCCTGGAACACAAGAAAAAAAATCACAAGACTTGAATAAATAATCGAATTTGAAGAGAAAATAACTCAATTTGATATAGTAATTCTTGAGTTTTTGATCGATCGAAAGTGCATTAAAAATAATCATTTACCACTGTATAATTTTTCTCCAGTGTATACACACACGGAATAGTCTCTTTTTATTTTGATGTCAAATCTTGAATGTTATCAATATGTTGTTTTGGTTGGTTGTGCCTAAACGATGATTATTATCTTCATATCGTCATCATCGTTTGTATCATTGACACTGTTGCTGTTGCTGGTGTGGTGGGATAGCACCAATGATGATTATTTTGCCAAAAAAAATTTTTTTTTAATGAATGTACTTTTTTTTCTGATTATGATTTCCATGGAAAAAAAACGACGAATGAAATGGAAAGGAGAGAGAGTTTCCACAAAAATTTTGTTTTTGTTGTTGTTTTCGATGTTTATCGATGATTATGGGCATCGAAAGTTTTATTCGAATGATAAAATTAGCGAAGATATGATATTGACATAGGAGGATAGGAGGTTTTTTTTTTGATAAAATGTTTTTATTTTCGGTTGTTCTGTTCCTACTCAACGATGTCAATTTAGGTCGATATATCGTATTTCAAACCAAAAAAAAAATCGTTCGATTCGAACGATTTGAATTTGTTCGAATCGAATGTTTTTTGAAATTTTTAAAATTGAAAAAATTTGATTATTTTCTTCCTCCCTTCGAAGAAGTTATATAATTTCAAATTGAATTGTTTAATCTTGATCTTTTCATTCATTCATTCATCATTTATTATCATTATCATCGGTCACATGATGAATAAATTACACGCGAACGGAATTTAATGAATATCCCCGTTGTATATGCACAAACACATTCCTCACCATCAAGCCTAAATTTAGATTGATTTTCAACAACAACAACAAAAAAATGTACTTTTTTTAAAAGAAAAACCTACCCTGTACTCACACATCATATTTTATTACAATAATCATCATCATCAATAAAACATAAAATGATATATCGCGTTGTTTAAAGCTACTCAGCAAAGAAAAAATGTACATTTTTTCATTTTTTTTCGACTGACTAATTGATTGAATGACAGAAAATGAATGATTGGATTTTGTCAATTTTTAAAAATCCAAAATGAACGAAAATGAAAAAAAAGAAATTTATTTAGATCAACAATCCGGTAATCAATTTAAGGCAAATCATCATCATATAAAATACAAAAAAAAAAACATTTTTTTTCTTTCATCTTTTCAAGTTGTTCAGTTTTTTGCCCTTATTTTTCACTGTAAATTTGTAGAAAAAAATTTTTAAATAGAAAAAAAAATTTGAAAAAAATCCTATGGATAAATAAACATCGTGTATTCTCTCTGTTGTTATTTTCAGAATATTGATTTGCTCTCGGTTTCAAGTTTGTTTTTTATTCTGGCTTTAAACGAATGATTAAGGGAGAATTTACCATCCTCCTTTATTTCTTAATGCACTATATCGATTATCGGTTGATATTGTTGAATCATTTTGATGATGACGATTTTGTTGTCCAGGTAATGGTGGTGCCGGTCCTAAACGTGATGCTAATGATGATGATATTAGTCCAGAACGAACTGGTTGAAATGTTTTTGCATCAGCTATTGCTTCATCCGTAGCACCTAGATCAGGAAATTCAACAGCATCATCAATTTTTGGTGCTTGTTTATCAGATTTTTTATTTGTTTGTATTTGACGATTTAATTTTGATTTAAATAATGCTGCTGTTATTTTCGATAAATCTAGACCACCATCTTCAGAAATTGCCGATTCTTCGGCTGGTTTTTCCATTTCATTCGATGGTGATATTTGTTTTTGATCTGGATCATCATTATCATTATCATCATCATCATCATCTTTATCATCAGCTTTTTCTACATCTGAATCATCATTATCAGGATTTTTATCATCACCATCTTTGGTATCATCTTTACGTCCCCATGGTGTATCCAATTGTTCTTTTTTAATATCTTCTTCTTCTTTTTCACGTTGTTCATCATCACTAAAATGAAAAAAATATTCAAAAAATACAATGAAGAAATCAAACAACAAACGAAGATACTTACTCAATAGTTAATGCTTGTATTTTTAGGCCAGAATAATCTTTATTTTCATCTTCGAAATCATTCCATTCTCCATCATCCTTAATTGAGAAATAAGGGTAAATTTTTCATTCAAAATTAATGTTAACAAATCATACAAACCTGAACAAAACTTTCCAAATTACTTAACAAATGATTAGATTGATTTTCTTTATTATTCGGTTCATTTTCTCTACATTTATATTCATATTTTTGTACAAAATCTTCACTTGAAATGCCTTTAGTTTTTTTCTTACGATTTTTATCTTTTTTGGCAAAAAAATCATCAAGGTCGCCGGACATTGTTCTTGCTTCTTTTCTGTTTTAAAAAGTTTTCAATTAAGTTTCGAGAGAAAAAAAACGAATTTCAAAAAAAGACTTACCTTTATCAACAAACCAAATTAATTAAAATTCGATTATAAAATAAACAATTTTGGGTAAAACAATATGCAATCAAAGAAAAAATGTTACATGCGTTTCATCTCACAACAAAAACAACAGAAAAGAAAAAAAAGAACAACGTTATTTTATCAAAAAAACGATGATGATATTGTGAATGAAATGAAAACGCGTTTGCGTGTGCCTGGCTGCATTGAGAGAGAGAGAATTCAGGCCAATTCATAAATGACACATCGACGAAATGCATGATGATGATGAACGCCTATTTAAATAGAAAATGCTGCCATCTATCAAACTTGAATTTAAACTACGGAAAAAATGGAAATTTTTGAATTTTTTTTTGAAAATTTTTTAATTAAAATATTCAATCCAAAATCTGATGAAGAATTACAGGATACACACAGATTACAAATTGGATACACACAGGAAAAAATTTGATAATAATAAATTAATTTACAAATCAATTGATGTAGTTATAGTGAGAAAATAAATAGTTTTGAAGAAATTCAATCTTTTTTACGAATTTCAGCTTTGCCATTTTTACTAAGATCAGCTTTGATGGTACCATTTTCTGATGAATTTTTAGCTATTCAAAAAAAACGAAAAAAATGAATTTTTATTTTGATATTTCATTCATTATCGGATACTTACAGGTTAAAAAATCAGAAAGTGAATCCCAAATACCACCAAAACATAATGCACAGAATAGATTTTCAAATGGTAAAAATGGATCATGAATACCAAGCAAAACGGATGATAATTTAAAATAGATAAAAAATATAACAACACCAAGATAGACTAATGAATGTGGTGCAGAAATTAAATCGGTTTTTTTATCCAAAATGAAAATTGCTGAAGCACAAATCGATGCTTTGGTTGCACTGTAATGAAAAAATGATTAAACCAAATCGATTACAATGATGATGATAACTTACAAAGATGGTGACATAAATTCAACAGCTGTCGGTGTCCAAACACCACGAATACAACGTTCCAATAATTTTGAAAATGAACTACCATTTCCTTTAACCGTACCAATAATAATCATTATTATATAGGAATTTGGATAAAGACTAGCTGCATGATTAACACCATCATTAATTTTTTTACAACGAATAATTTCTTTCATTATAATTATTGCCAATTTACAAGGTAAAAATTTGATTAATTTATAAACAAAATCAAACGGTGAATAGAATATGATATACCTGTTCAAACGAAAAAAAACATTTAAAATCTTAAAAATTTCTGTTTTGTAACCAAACTAACCAAACAGCCGTGGCCAATATAACATGATTTGTACTTTTAAATGCCGAAACAATTGGTTCACCAAGCAAAAATGCAGATAAAATATTACCAGCAAATGCTGATAACATGAATGAAATCCAACAAGCAAATGGATGTTTTCTTGAAAATACATGACATCCTAACAAAAAAAAACAAGGAAATTTTGAAATTATTTTGGATAAAATTTCAATTAAAAAGATCTTACCTGTTGATAGATCATCACGTAGATATAAACCAGTAACAATAAAATGTGCAACATCAAAATATGGATACATTTTGAGCTGTGTAAGCTCATTAGCTAGATCCAAAAATATAATCGGATCCATCTTCGCTGTTTCTGTTGATCACTGATCAATCGGTGGTGGTCGAATTGAATATTTTCGTAATTTCGTAATTGGAACAATTTTTAAAAAAACAACAACAAAAACAGTTTATAAGGTCGATGATGAATGACAGACTAGTGATGAAAAACAGAAAGAATGCTGATGTTATTTTGTTCACTTCAAAAAAAAAAATTCTTGATCGAAGTTAGATTCGAGGTCGAAAGAGAAAAAGAATTCAAGCCAAGTGATTCTTTCTTTCTTTTTCATTGAACAATATGAATGAAAATATGCTGCTCTCTTTCTATAATATTCTTCTCTTTGTATTTTTTTCGGTGGTCGGTATATTCTTCAATATAGAATCATCACTATGTCGGGATAAAATTAGCATCATCATTTTGTCTCTCGCTCTCTCTCTCTTCATTATGCTTTGTATTTATGAAGAATCTAAAGCTGCATTAAAAAAGTGAAGAAAAAAAAATTTCCTCTTTCGTCGATACATCATTGTCTTCATTTAATACATTATAATCATATCGTATATGTGATGCATCATTGAAATTAAATGAATTTTTTATCATTTTTTCTTTTTTGTTGAGAAAAAAAAACTAAGCCGCCAATATCCAAAATTGATATGATAATTTGATTTTCTTTCAATATAATTTGACAACATTTGATTGAAAACTTGAGAAATTTTGATCAGAAGAAGAAACTTTATGGCGAAAGAAAAAAAATATATTTAGATCCCGATAATGATTTGAAAAAATCGAATAATTTCGAGCAAAAAATAATGATTACGTAATAGCCAAAAACAATCGATTATTATTATCGAAAACCCAAAAAAACTATCGATTGTTAAAATGCCACATGTATGTTTTTGTTCGAATTGCGCATGTATCATTTTTTTTTCTTCGCACATTTAATATTATTCCTTTTCCTGGCAGCCTCATTCACTCGCGTGTTTTCGGTGTTTTTGCTTTTTTTGAAAATTCTTATTTTTTCTTTCGTTTAATTCTCGGCATTCTGTGGTGCAACAAAATTAAAATTTGGTAGAGCTAATTTTATTTAATCTAATTTAAGATTTAAAACAAACAAAAAGCTCATCCACATCACAAAATGCCACCAAAAGTTGATCCTAATGAAATTAAAATTGGTAAATTTTTTTGGTTGAAAAATTCTTTAAAATTTTACTTTGCTGAATGATTTTTTCATTTCTTTACTTTCCACCTAAAAAATAGTGTACCTTCGTGCTGTTGGTGGTGAGGTAGGTGCTACATCATCTTTGGCTCCAAAAATCGGTCCACTTGGTTTATCACCGAAAAAAGTTGGTGATGATATTGCTAAAGCTACATCCGATTGGAAAGGTTTGAAAGTTACCTGTAAATTGATCATCCAAAATCGACAGGCACAAATTGAAGTTGTACCATCAGCTGCTTCGTTATTGATCAAAGGCTTAAAAGAACCGGCACGTGATCGGAAAAAAGTTAAAAACATTAAACATAGTGGTAATCTACCAATGGAAGAAATAATCAAAATTGCCCGTATAATGCGACCACGTAGTATGGCACGTAAATTAGAAGGTACTGTTAAAGAAATTTTAGGTACTGCCGTTTCCGTTGGTTGTACTGTTGATGGACAACATCCACAAGATATTATTACCAAAATTAAAGATGGTGAAATCGAAATTCCCGACGAGTGAATTTTTGGTTAAATAAAAAACATGACATTTTTCAAATAAAAAAAAATTTCTTTTTATTAATCAATTTCATCAGTGTTTAATACTGTTCAATAATCAATAATTCAGTTGTTTGTTTAGTGTTTACTTAATACAATTTTTAAATGCTGCTGGATAATAATTTTTTTCGTTGTTGAATTTCATCTTTCTCCGTTGTTTTGCATATTTTTGATTTCTATTACCAGATTCCACTTGATCGACCACCCGGTGGATTTTGTACACGAATGGCAGTTTTACTGATTTTATCATCATCAATCTGGGCACCGCTTAAATTGAATGATGAATCCTGTAGATTACGAACACCTGAACGTGTAGTACCTTTATAAAAATTTGGCGTATTTGGTCCTCCACCAATATTTTCTTTCATGTATATTGGTGATTGTTCATTTGACATCATTTGTGGTGTTAATGGTGGTGCTGGTGGTGGTGGCATCATTGATGATTGATTTCCATTTTGAGCAACAGCAACATTATTTGTTGGTGGTGTTCGAGGAACTGTAGTTGATTGTGGCTGTTGATTTGATTGTTGTTGTTGTTGATTTGGTTGTTGTTGTTGCTGATGATCAACAACATCTTTACCATCTCGATCAATACGAATAGGCATTATTCGTTCACGTTCACGAATAGAATGCCATAGAAAACTTGAATTTGGTGCACAAGGTATAAATCGTCCACTACCTTGTACAACATGTAATCCATTTTCATCCAATACAACACGACCATTACTGATAACAACCAATGGACCAAATGAAACTTGTGTACCTTCGAAAATATTAAAATCACCATTTGAATGATGATTTTCGGCACGAATAACTTGTGGTTTTGGTCCCCAGATAACAATATCTGCATCCGAACCTTTTGCCAATCGTCCTTTTCGTGGATAAAGATTAAAAATTTTAGCTGCATTTGTACTGGTCACAGCAACAAATTGTCTTGGATCTAATTTTCCCGGTCGTACACCATTTTCCCATAAAATCATCATACGTTCTTCAACACCATTTACACCGTTTGGAATTAATGAAAAATCTTTCATTCCTTTAGCTTTATCAGCAAGTTTAAAAACACAATGATCCGATCCGGTTACTTGTAATTGTCCCGATGCTAACATATTGATCAAATATTCAGGTGTTGATCTATCTGGTCGAAGTGGTGGTGACATAATATGACCAGCAGCATGTTGCCAACATTTATTAAAATAATGTGTACCATCCGTTCCTAGACCAGCAGCAATTGGTTCACCATATACAATGCAACCACGTTTTCGTGCATCAGCTACAGCATCCGCAGCAGATTTACTATTAACATGAACAATATAAACTGGACAATTAACTTGATTGGCCAATGTTGTTATACGATGAACAGCTTCAGCTTCAACTTCTTCTGGACGACTTTGTATATGTCCTTCCGGACCGGTAATACCCAAACTTTTCAATTTACGAATATTATATTCAATAATGTCACCATTTTCAGCATGAATACAAGGTAATGCACCAAGTTGTCGACATTTTATCAAAACATTCATCAAATCGTCATCACGTAACATTAATGAATCTTTATATGCCATAAATACTTTAAAACTATTCACACCATATTCTTTAACCAATGTTTCCATTTCAACATCAGTTTTGCCTTTTACGAATTCCGGAACAATAACACGAAATGTATAATCACAACATGCAATACCATCCGATTGTGATCGATAACGTTTAAATGTTTCAATTAAACTATGACCACGTTGTGTCATAACAAAATCCATTATGGTTGTTGTACCACCAGCTAATGCAGCACGTGTTCCACTATAAAAATCATCTGCTGTTGTTGCACCCATAAATGTTGCATTCATATGTGTATGTGTATCAATACCGCCCGGTAATATATAATAACCATTTGCATCGATTGTTCGTACACCACCCGGTACAATCAAATGTGGACCAATATCTCTGATTGATTAAAGTAAATCAATTAAGTAATTCAATAAAATAACATTAATGATAATAATGATGATACTAACTTGATAATTCCATCTTCAACATAGATATCAGCCTTAAAAATAGCATCATCATTAACCAAACGACCATTTTTGATTAGTATACGATTCTGTGAACTCTGTGTGTTAAAATATATAGAAAATAAATTTCAAATCATTCATCAGTATTTTAATGTTAAATCAAAGAAAATTTCAACAAAACAAAAACAAAATCATCTTGATCATCATCAAACACATCATTCATTATACCTGAAGATGAATTGGAATTTTTTTCGATGATACATTTCCATTGGTTGTTGTTGTTGAAGCCGGTGATAATGATGCGGCTACCGAAGATGATGCAGCCGCCATTATTGATTGTTTCGTAATGAATGAATGAATGAAATATCAGGAACACAAAAAATATATTTGTCAAACGCACAACACAAAACCACAAAATGTTCTAAATATAAAATAGTATTCGCGTATTTCGAATCTTGTATACAATATTTCGGGTAAACAAACACAAAAATATCGTTTTTTTTCTCTCAATAAAAAAAAGACTTTCAAAAAACTTTACTTCCCTAAACACACATTCAAGTCAATAAAAGACGACGAAGCAAGACAAATTGAACTCGATGATGTTCAGTCAAAGATCATAAAAAAATGCATATAACATATATGGATTGATTTGATTTTTTTTTTGTTCACAAAACCTCGATTGATGATGAGACGATAAAATCAAATTTGATATTTTTTCAAACAAAAATAAAAATAAAAATTTCAACTTTTCAAATCAAATTAAAGTCACAGAAAAAAACGGGGAAAAACTGCTGTTTTTTTTTGTTGTTGTTGTTGAGGAAAAATTTTTGTCAGTTCAGTTATGTTGCCTGGGTTATATAATAATTTTTTTTCCAGAAAAAATGACAATTATCCAAAATGAACAACCAGAACAAAAAAACAAAACTAGACTAGATAGTTTCGTTTCAAAATTTTTTTGAAAAAACAAAGCAAAAAACATTCGAAACAAGTTGAAAAAAAGGATGAAAATAGCCGAAAATATGTGTGACACAGTTATTATCTTATTGAAAAAAAATGTTTTGTTTTGTTTTTTTCAATTTCACAAAGAGAGAAAATTAATTTTTTCAAATGTTAATCATTCATTCATTCATTGTCTATTGTCATTTCTTTCCTTTTCTTTTTTTTTCAATTTGACACATTCCAAATATAATAACAACAACAATAGTTTTGGCTGCTGATGATAGAGAGAGAGAAACGAAATGATTATTATCGCAGAGAGGTATGATTATTATTGTAATAATGAAAAAAATATGAACATTTTCTTGGCTGGCTGCTGGTTATTATTATTCTTTTCTTTTCATTCAAAAAAAAATGATGCGCTTCAATGAAAAGTCAATTGAAAAAGAAAAAAACATTGATCATCATCATCATGATCGTAAACACATTCGACTGGGTAGAACACCGAAAACAAGAAAAAAATGGATGACACAACCAGAATTAAATAAAGCTTCCAACAAAAAAAAAACCTAAAAACTCAATAATAACCAACAATAATCATTTTTTTTTCAAAACATACTTATGACATACATATCATCATCGCAATGGAGTATCATCATTGTTAAAGAGAAAATTTTTATTAGCCAGAAAAAAACCAGTCCAGTAACGTATGGCGGCTGGTTCAACCCCAAACACACTCAATATATAAATGGCGCGCGGTTGAAAGTTACCAAACCCGGACTCAAAACGAAAAATGGTGGGCTTTTGGCTTTTGAGTAGGCTCGATGAGTTGGATTTTTTTTGGTTAATATACCCGCGCGCGCAAACTAAAAACGGTTTTTTTTCTGGGTGTTGGTTTCCCATTGATATCTTCTTTTTTTTCTGATTATTACTAATGGAGAAATTATTTTTGGTTCAAGGCCTGGCCTGATATTCAAGTCAGAAAATAATCCCAAAAACCGAACGTAACGTACCGTATGAATGAGTCATTCGGGTTCATTTTCAATTCAATTGCCAAATGTTATGCGACACGGTAATTCCAGATAAGAATTTTTTTTTCTGTTGTTCGGGAATTTCCCGCTTTTTAATTCGCGAGAGAGTTCAATGAACAACAACCCAAAAAAATGCGGCAAAAGTTACTATATAACTAATCTACTAACTAATCTAACTCTCTATATAATATAAACAACAGAACATTCGGAATTGTTGAATTCGAATGAATGACAACCAAACCAAAACAAAGCCAAAAACAACAACCAGATGACTGACATTTTGTTTGGCTAATTAATTGATTCAAAATCAACTGGGCTGCCTGCTTTTTGGATAAACAAAATAAGAGATTTTTTCAAGTGTATTTTTTTCCTACTTGTCGACTAAAAACAAACACTTAATATAAATATTTATCTCAGTCGATATAAATCGAATGACAAACAAATCAAATTAAGACATTTTTTGTTTCAAGATCATCATTAATGATAATCACTTTGGAAACCATTCATCATCATCATCATCATTCGAATACAAATCTTTTGAAAAAACAAAACATTTTTGTATAACCCCTCTTAAAAGCCATGCTCGATTCGAACCGAAAAAAATATTCGAATCTTCGAACGTTCGAAAATTCGAATGTTTGAAGATTCGAATCAAATTGTCAGAAATCCAAAGTAATTTTGTTTAGTTAAGACTTTTTTTCGTTCAGTTTTTTTTGTTTTGTTTTGAAAAAATATTAAAATAAACTAACCTCATGATGTTGTCCATTCTGTTGTTGTTGTTGTTTGTCATCCGACATGATTGGTATTATTGAAAAACTTTGATTCTGTTGATTATATGGCCACTTTTTACGATTATGATAAACACTACCAAATAATGGTTTCGTTGATAATGGTTTTGTTGAACAATCAAATAATTTGGAATTATAAATCTGTGATGTTGAAAATGATTTATAATTATTATTAAGCTTTTCTTTACTCGTTCGTTGCTGTCGCTGTTGTTGTTTCTTATTTATACCAATAGCGGCGTTGTTGTTGTTGTTGAAAATTTTTTCTTCTTCTTCTTCTTGACAACGTCTAATCAAATTCAAGTTTTTTGCTGTTGCTATTGTTGTTGTTGTTGAGTGATTATTATTGATCGATGAAATTGGTAATAATAATTGTTGTTGGTTTGGTTTCGGTTGCTGTATAAAATAGCTACCATTATCGGGTGAAAGCTCATTTTGTTTGACTATTCTTTTGGTAGATGGCGTTTCGATTCGATTCTGTTTATTATTCGAATATGAATTTCGAATATTCGAATCGAATGTATCATCATTCGAATGTTTCATGAAATCTCGATGATGATGATGATCAAATGATGTCGATGTTTCTTGATCGTTTTGATGATTTTGCTGATAAATATCATCATAAGAATCATAAGTATCATCATAATAACCATAATCATAATCATTATTAAAATCATCATCATCATCATCGGATGTTAAAATTAATGCCGAACGTACTGCCGTTGATTCATTACGTTTTTTGGCTGCTGCTACGGCTGCTGACGATGATGTTTGAAGCTTGGAATATTGATCGAACGGTATTGGTGTCGATGTTCTTTGACGATAATGACGATGATGAGGAACATCGAATGTTTGTCGTTTGTCAATTGCTGATGATTCAAACGGTTTTCCTAAATAACCGAATGCATTCGAATGTTCCAATTGTCTTGCCGTATTGTTCGGGCAAAATTTTCGATGTTTATAATCACCATTATGATCACCATGATGACCAACATTATCATGTGATTTATCCGTAATTGTTTCAAATAAAACTAAATGTGATCGACTTTTTTGTTTTGAATCATATAAATTTGAATAATATAATGGTGATTCAAACAGTTTTTTTGTTGTTGTTTGATGTGGCATTCTGTTATTCACTGATGATGACGATGGCAGCAAGAATTTTTCAGGTAAAATTATCAAAATTTCAATTAAAATCATTAAACTTTTTTGTAATTTTGATTCATTTCATTCAACAGGTTTTTTTTGTGTGTGTTTAGGTTATGAGGATACAAAGATTTCATCAATTTTTCATCATCAAAAGGAAAAATGTCAGGCACCAAAAATCATTTATTTTTGTTTGTTTGTTTTGTATTGTACAGAATGAAAAATTGTTTGTTTTTTTGATTATCAATTTATATATAAAGCCAACAACAACAACAACCGATCTATCAAACTGATCACAAATCATTCAACAAAAAATCATTCATTTTTTCTTTTTTTTTCAAAATTTTTTCTGTGTATTCTGTTAGGCATTGTGATTGATAGGATTTTTTTTCTTTACTTATTTAACGGTTGTTGTTGTTGTTATTGCACCTGTCATAAATGAAAAAATAATTTTTTCCGCGTGGTTTGGCTTGGCCGAAAAAAAAGAAAAAAGAAAAAATCCAGATGCAGAATCATCTTGGCCATCACTGCGGCGATGATATTTACCATGACCACCATCAACCACAACCATTGTCACCATCGATCAACAAAATATCACCACCACCAACCATTAAAAACGTGATCTTATTTTCAATGATATTATCATTCAAGGGAAAAAATCAAATCAAATCAAAGACATCGACACCGATGATAATGATAATAATGATGACCAAAACACAAGGTCAACAACAACAACAAATTTTAAACATCTTGATTGATTTGTGAATAAATTATTATTTTATTTTTATTTTAAAAAATGGAAAAAAAGACATATGAAACATTCACAGATGATGTTATAATTTTTTTTTGTTGAACTAACCATCCATATCCTGTTTTAATATTTCGAATATTTTTTCAGCTGTCATCGGTTGTTGTTGTTGTTGCTTCTGTTTCATTCCACCTTCATTCGATTTTGTTGTTGTTTCAAAATTAATCAATAAAATTTTATTTCGAGATTTTTGACCAATATCCAATGAAATATATCTTGTTTTAACACCCAAAACGTGACTAAAATAATCAATCAATTCTTCATTTGCTGCTCCTTCTCTAATTATTATTATCATTTGTAATGGGGAAAAAAATATTAAAAAACATGAAACAATTGAATTGGAATTGGAAATCAAAATAATAATTTGTAATTATGAAAAGAAATATGGTGAATGGCCATATATAATTGATATTTGAAAATAGTAATTTTTGTTTTGTTTTTTTTTGGAAAAATATTTACCTTGGTGGTGCAGCAATCTGTACACCGATAGCATCATCATCAATACTAACTATTTGTGATTTTTTCGCTCCAGGTTTAGCACGGATTATTAATTTTATTTTCGATGCGGATGATGAATCAATTAATTGAACGATAGATTTCGGGATAACCGACATTATCGAATGGAATTCTTCCTGAAAAAAACATTCGAATTCGAATCATTCGAATCAGCTGGTCGTCTGTATGGAAATACCATACATTCACAAAAGATGGCAGCACTGGTTTCAATTTTTCTTCAAAATTGAAATCATTCTGGTTCATAGATCTTTCAATTTGGCCATATTTTTGATTGATTTTTTTTAAATTGAAAAAAATCTACGTGCATCATTTACGTCATTAGCAAAAAATGGTGAAATGAATCAGCGAAACAAGGACAAAAAAAATTGGTGTCCGGTATTGGAAAAACAAGTCAAACAAAAAAATTATCTACAAAGGATATCCGTTTCTTTTGAAAAATTTGATGATGATGAACTCAATAAACAATTTCAACCGAAATATACAACCATCCAACCAACAGCAGAGATGATTTTGTTTTTGTTTTTTTTTTTTGATTCAAGAATTTGATTCTACCTTACCACTTTGAAAATAATGTTTTCGAAATCATTTTTGGAATATCATCACCACCGCATCATGTCCTTCTGTATGATAATTGTTTACGGTCTAATCATTGCGGTGGTTATCGATGGACAACCACCACCACCATTATCATCTTCTGGTGAAATCGATGATGTTTCAACAGCCATACAACAATGTTACGGTATTTCAAAATTGATTGATTTTCTTTACCTTGATTTTATTTCATTTTCTTCGTTTGTTTTTTCGCTGAAAATATAAGATTCACCTGCCGATTTATTTCAAGTTTTTCCACAATTAAATAATACATTCAAGATAAAAATAAAAAATAAATGCCTTCAATTACCTGAGCTGGAAATCTATCTTTACATATTTGATTTATCAATTGTTGATCAAATTTTCGCCAAAGAAATTGATCAATTAGATTCGACGAAAGTAAATTCCATAAAAATTAATCGTCCAACAATGATATTTGGTCGTCAGGAATTGACAAATTTTCAACAACCATTGGCACGTTTTAAATTTGGTATTGTATTTTTTGATCATACTGGTGTTGTACATAAAGCATTACATCCAAAAGTATTTTATTGTAAGTAACATTTTTGTAACTTTTTTGTAATTTTTCTTGTAATTTTTTTGTATTTTTTTTTTGTAAATCAAACGAATAATGACTTTTACTTTGTATTTTTTTTCGTTTGTAAAAATAGTCCACACAAATCAATCATCATCATCAACGATTGAAATTTTATTGATAATCATATTGGGTATTTTATTACTTATAACTTGTATTTTGTTGGCAATGTTGATTTACATGTGAGTCTTTTGTTTCGTTTATGGTTTGTTTTTGACTTTTTGATAAAAATTTTTCCATCAAAATCAGAAATTATTGTGGAAATCGTCGACAAAAAGCCAATGGAATATTTTTCTGGCGTAAATTGCCGAATAGAACAACGATGAAAGCACATTTACTGAATAATAATAATAATGACCAGGAAAATCCATCCGAAGCGATAATTTTCGAACCAAAATCCAATATAATCTATGTGGATAAAATTATTAACCAGATTCCGGAATTATTAAATGAAGAAAGAATCAGACAAGAATATGATAGTGTACCAAAATCTAAAATGAATAGCTGGAATGATGGCCGCTTACCGCAACATAAATCAAAAAATCGTTATGGTAATCTTCTACCATATGATCATACCAGGGTTATATTGAAAGAAGATTCGCCCGAAGATACCAGTTATATAAATGCAAATTTTATTGATGGTTATCGTCGTCCCAGACGTTATATTGCATCACAAGGACCAATCGATACAACGATTGAAGATTTTTGGCGTTGTATTTGGCAATATAAATGTCAACAACTGGTAATGTTAACGAATTTGGAAGAAAGTGGCCGTATGAAATGTGAAAAATATTGGCCCGATTCAAGTAGATTTTATGGCCGTATTAAAGTTACCCTACAAACAACCGAATTGTTTGCCGATTATGTTATACGAACATTTTTATTGGAAAAATTCACCAATAATAATAATGGTGATTCCCAATCGATGATTGTTAATCAATATCATTTCATATCATGGCCTGATCATAATGTACCATTATATGTTTGTACGCTAATCAGTTTTATGAATCGTATACGTTCGGATTTATTTTATAAACAAGCACCGCATATAATTGTACATTGTTCAGCCGGTATAGGTCGTACCGGTGCATTCATCCTGATTGATTCAATGCTAGAAATGGCATTGAAAGAAAAAAAAATTGATATCCTTGGTCATTTCTGTCGTATGCGTATGCAACGTATTAATATGGTTGAAAAATTTAGTCAATATTTATTTGTTTATCATATACTGATTGAAGCATTATCACATGAATCATCCGATATTTGTTGTCAGGATTTTCAAAATTATTTTGAATCAATGACCAAAGGTAATCATAATCAAAATAATCATCGTAGTCATCATCGAGAGTCAAAATGTCGCCTACGTAAACAATTTGAAATATTAAATATTATGTCGAATCGTAAATCAAATCAATCAACAACCGGTAATCAATCATCATCATCGAAATTTGGTCTAATGAATAGTAAATTAAATCGTCGTGATGATGTTATTCCACGTAAGTTTTCTTTTCGATTCAAGTTTTTCCTATTTTAATGAAATTTTCTTTTCTGGTTTTTCTTTAGCCGACAATGCTCGGGTTATACTACCGAATCATGAAGATTATATCAATGCTGTCTATATTAATGTAAATATCGTTTTTTTCCTGTTTCGTTTGATTGAATTTTAATAATTTATCTTTTTCTTGCACCAAAAAATAGGGATATCGTAAAAAAGATGCCTATATTGTAACACAGATACCATTCGAAAATAATCGACAACAATTTTGGAATATGATTGAATATTTAAAATGTACAACAATCGTATTGTTGGGCAATGTATTTCAAGATGAACAAATTGTAAACATTTTTTTACTATTTTTATTATTTCAATTCATTCTGATTATTTCATTTTCATTTCCTACCGTTTTTTTTCTCCTTACAAATATGCATCATATCGAATTTCGTTTTGTCTACAGTATTGGCCAACAATATTGAACAAGAAATTTGATTTTAATAATAATGAATTATCAGTTACATTGATTCAGGAAGAAATTCTATCCAATAATACTTCATCATCAACAATGATTATAATGAGAACATTTCAAATACATCCAAATGATTTAATTGTTAGACAATTTCATTTGAAAAATTTCAGTGTTGGTGATGATGGAACGACAAGTGGTTGTGGTGGTGGTGGTTGTTCAACAACAAAAATTTTATCAACGAAAACTTCATCGACAATACGATCATGTTATGAATTGATTGAGCTTCGAGAGAAATTGGATCAATATTCATCGATAACATCGTCGTCGTCGTCGGCGACAAGTTCACATCCATTAGTTGTACAATGCATGTAAGTGCAAATTTACTTTCTTTGATTTTTATCAATCGATCGATCGAATATCATTCATAAAATTGATTTTTTTCTATGTTTTCTTTTCCTGGATGTGCTATATTGTCTTACAATTTGTACGACAAAATTGTAGTGATGGTGTACAATTTAGTGGACTATTCTGTGCGGCTGATTTTATATTCGAACGTATTAAAGAAGAACAACAAATTGATGTATTTTTGGCTGTACAAAAAATTCGTGCTAATCGTCCACAATTTATTATTAATTATGTAAGTATGCAACAATGTTGCTATTTCGACATTCTTAACTATCATTTTTTTCTCATTCAATCTATCCATGTCAACCGGATTCAACCTAAACGACCAAATCTACCGCAATGGTCAAATCGAATCGAATCAAAATATCAGGAACAATATCTATATCTACATCAAGTGGCATTAGCCTATTTACAATCATTCGAACAATATGCAAATTTTAAATGAAAACTTTCAAATTCTGATGTTTTTTTTCTGTTTTTAAATTTTGTTCCTGGATCATCATCTTCATCACCATCACCATTAATTAATTTAATAATTTTTTTTTAAATTAAATGAAGAATTTTTTAATTAAATTTTTATTGTTTTTATTCACCTGAAGCAGAAAAAAAAAGAATTTTCTGGTACAATTATTTTACACAACAAAAAAAAAGATATAAGCATCATCATCATCGTTGTCGTTTTTGAAAACCTAATGTTATTAAGAAATTTTTTTTTGTTGTTTGTTTGAAAAAAAGAAGCCAGAAGAAGAGAAAAAATTTCAAATTAAAAAATAAAATGAACTTCCTAAATTTATCAAGTTTTTTTCAAATTTTATGTTGTGTGGGTGGTGAATGTAAAAAATGGTTAGGTGCGGGCAGGTGTCTAGTGTTTGTGATCCAGGATCAAAAAAAAAAAGTTTTAAGTTCAGCACACAAACGATGGGGGAAAAAAGTTCATCATTATCATTAGTTGTTTTTCAAAATTAAACTTTCGTTTCGTTTTTTTGTTGCTGCTGCAGAAATAAATACACAAAATTGAATAGAATGTGTAATAGAATGTGTGTGTGTGATGGTCAAGTGGATGATAAAAGTATATCCAACAACAACAACAACAACAACAGCCAAACAAACAAACAGAAGCCGATTAAAACACAAAAAATTAATTATTATTATTAGAAAAAAAAATGAAGAAAATTTTATATGCTCATCATTATAATTATAATATTGGTTTAAAAAAAAAAAAAATTTCGTATATCACTGCCTACTTTAACAACAACAACAACAACAGAATTCTTTTTTGAATTTCAGAATTTTTTGATTCTCTCTCTATATAATGATTATTATTTAAGCATTTTTCAGTTGTGTGTTTGCAAAAAAAAAAATATAATGATAATTTTTTTTAAAAAAAAGAAACACAGAAAAAAATATAAAATATTATTACAAAGAAAATTTAAAAAAAAAAAAAGAAGATTCTGTTTGTCTCTGTGTGTGTGTGATATTTCGGTAAATTTAAAAGTTTCATCACCACAAACCATCCTATAATACAATTGATGGAATAGGGATCGTTTTTTTTTGAAGAAGAAAAAGAATGTGTATCATTGGATAAGGTAAGGTAAGTAAAATCGAGAATCCAGGTTAGTTCAATTTTGTTGTTTTCGTCGTTGATTATTAACATTGATTTTTTTTCTCTTTTGCAAAAAAAAATTTTGATATTAAAACGAAACAAATACATTTTTTTTATTTAAAAAAAAGAAGAAGTTAAAATAATGAATTTTTGTTTGTCAGGTTGTGTGTTTATATGTGTATGTAGAAAAAAAAATGGCCAATATTTTTGGGGGTGAAAAGAAAATTTCATTTGTGTGTTTGTGTATTTCACACTTTTTTATATAAACAAGGTAGATTAATTATTTATCTGTGTTTATGATTGTTTTGTAAATGTGAAAATAAAACAATTTTTCGTTTTCGTTGTTGTTGTTGTTTCAATTTACTGACCGACGATATTGTCTAATATGAATGGTGTGTGTAAATGTTTTTGTGTGTGTGTGTGTTCAAAGAATGATACATTTTTTTGATGATTTTTGATTCTTTCTTTTATCTTTACCACGACGTTCACGATCTTTACGTATTTCACGTACTAATGAATAAAAGGCTTCATCAACACCCATTCTTGTTTTGGCTGATGTTTCAACAAATGGTATACCATAATTTTTTGCAACTTCATAAGCGCCATTTATATAAACTGAACGTGTTGGTAGATCGCATTTATTTCCAACTAGCACCATTGGAACATCTTCGGCATCTTTAACCCGTTTAATCTGATTTTTTTTCAACAAAACAAAAAAAACTTTTCAATATAAACTAATCAATAATAATTTTATTACATACTTGTTCCCTATATGTAGATATATCTTCATATGATTTTGCACTATTGACAGCAAACACTAATAAGAACCCTTCACCGGTTCTCATATATTGATCACGCATAGCACTATTGAATAATAAAATTAATTTCATTAATCATTTTTTGAATCAAAAAAAAACAATATTAAAATTTACCTATATTCTTCTTGACCAGCAGTATCCAATATATCAAGTAAACATGTTTCACCATCAATAACAACTTGTTTACGATATGAATCTTCAATAGTTGGATCATATTCATCAACAAAACTGTTTGGAAAACAAAAACAAAAACAAAAAAAAACAAAAGATAAATAAATAAATAATTTGTCATAATTTTTGGTTACGAAATCAAACCAAACAAACAAACAACAAGAAAAAAAACTTACTGATTTTGAATTAATTGTATGGTTAAGGCACTTTTGCCGACACCACCAGCTATATAAATGAATAGAGAATCAAAAAAAAACTTAATTAATATCAATGATCATCATTTTAGAGAGCAAAAAACAGAATTTTGATTAATGGGAATTTTCGAAAGATGAAGAAGAAGAAACAGAAAAAGTAAAAGGATTTCCCGGGAATTAAAATGAAAAATGTTAATCATCATCATTAGATATATGGTTTTTATTTGGTCCGGGTAAAACAAATTTACACCCAAAACACAGCTATCGATTAATGTTTGAAGTTATTATAATTTACTGTCTCTTTTTTTTAAAGCACATCTATCTATCTATTTATCCAACTATATAATACTTGTCTGGGGCAAATATTAATTTTTCTGGGACAACACACACTTGAGAAATGAGAACAAAATATGAATTTTTTTTTTGTTTTGTTTAGCGACAAAATAAATCAACAAACAAAATTCTATGCTAATAAAAATCTATAATTTTTTAGCTTGATCATCATCATTCATTCATTAGAATCAATTTTCATCATCATCATTATCATATTCATTAGTGAAATGAATGAATGAATGAATTTTTTACCTTAATAACCATTCTCTCATTATAAATTACAAAGAATTTTTTTTTTTTGGTTCTGTTCTATCAACATGCATAATTTTTTTTTTGATAAAAAGGAAAAATGAAACAAACAAAACGAAAAATATCAAATCAAATCATAGCGATGTCAATGGAAAGAGAATAAACAATAAAATAATTACCGCCGACTACAACCAATTTATATTCGGTCATAATGTACAATAATATCGCATTTGGTTACGATTGGCCACCAAAGAAAAAAAAATATAGAAATAGAAAATGAAAAGAAATGATTTCCTATAGAAAATAAAAATAATGCTAATAATTCGATGAATGAAGAATATGTAGTCAGATGATGAAATGAATTAAAGTAGAGAATCCGTAAATCAAAATTATTCAATCAAATGATGAATCAGAAAAAAATTGATTGATTTTGTATCGTGTAGCAGTGACAACAAACAAAACAAAACAAAATCGTAATCGTTTTTCGTAAACACAGGAACACAAATAATTATTATTATTAGAAGAAGAAATATTTAATTGAAAAATTGAAACGAAACAAAAATTATTATTATTATATTAATAATAAACATCCATAACAAACAAACAAAAAATTCATTCATTCATCATCAGAAGCAGCTTATTTTTAAAAAAAATTCATTCGAAATCATATGATACACAACAACGAGAGTGTCTTCGAATCAATAATAACACAAACATAAAAATAAAGACAATTATTGTCGAAATGGTTGATGTTTGTTTTTCGAACGAACCCGGCAATCTGAATCTTTTTTTTCAAACTTTGATTTTGGAATTTTGCAATTTAAAGGAACTTTCGAAATTAAATTTGAAGTTTAAAGATTCACCAGGTAAAATAATGGCAGGGTGATTATTATTCTAATTGATTAATTTATCAAAAATCATATAGGTAACACACGATGATCAAACAGAAAAACAAAACAAAAAAAGTAAAAACTCAACAACTTTTCTGTCTGTTGTTGTTGTTTGAGTGTCGATAATAAATATTAAAAAAAATGTCGATTTTTTTTTTGATTTCTGTTGTTGTTGTTTGTTTTGTTATAATTATTGTTGTCTCACATTCGACAACAACAACAACAACAAAATTGTTGCAAGGATTATTATTGATGATGATGATGATGAGCGTGATTTTCTCATCCCCCTCTCCAATGAAAAGGAATTTAAAAAACAAAAAACTAGACAAAAATTAAATCATCAAAAAATAACAGTTATTTTTGTTCTTCAACACACAGAGTTTGTTTACAAATTTTTTTCTTGTTTGTTTGTTTGTTTGTTGTTCATTCGAAAGTGTTTTGTGGTGTGTGGGGGTGGAATAATATTCAATTATTGTGAAATTAAATCAGTAATTTACACTTTGTTTGAATGTTGATGATATTAAGGATGGATCAAAGATTTTTTCAGAGGTAAACAACACAAAAATATTTTTTCTTTTGAAATGATAAGTTGATGTAATAAGATGATGTCACACACACTCAAAAACAAACACAGGTGAATTTTGATTTAATCGATGACAATTTTAGTGGTGCTAAAAAGTGGTGACAACAAAAATGCCGCAAACAATTTGCTGAGAATATGAATCAATCAGCCACACGTGTTTCCAAAAAAAACACAACCAAATTGATATTCTTTAATTCTTGAATTTACATTAAAGTTGTGTAATGGTTAGTTTTTCGAAAACACCGAACACACAGATCACAGAAACAAAAAAAAAGAAAATTTCCCAAAAGATTAAAATCGTCGTTTAATGAAGAAAATGATAGCGAAAAAAAGAAATGGATTTCGTTTTCTTCGTAAAAACAAAACTCTCGATGTTTCATTCGATTGACATACACACACACACTCTCTCACTTTATGCGCTGGGTTCTTCGGGTTTTTTTCGTTCGTTCATTTCTCTCTCTCTCTCTCTCTCTCTCTCTCTCTCTCGTTTCTTACTCTTTTCTGCTATCTTTTTCAGTCAGTCAAGTCAGTCAGTCACTGTTTTTTTTTTCTTTGATTACAGACATTGGGAATTATGTGTGTGTAGCGAGTATTATCATTACAATACACTTTTCTGGCCCACACAACATATACACGATGAACCACCGTAATTTTCTTCTTTCTTGCTTTAGTCGATCGTTGAACGTCGTTTTTATTTTTATTAGGATTTTCTTCTCACACACACTATCATCATCAACAGCAGACTTGGGTCTTTTTCTTCACTTGTTTATTAAGGTTTTTTTGTTGTTGTTGCTATTTATTTGTCTCGTTATTTTTTTTTTTGAAAAATTTCGATTTTCATTTCGATGGATTCACACTATCCATCCAAAAAAGAATATTGCAACACACACTAGTTGTAGTGGTAAAAAATTAATAACAGAATTGTGAACTACTACTTTTCGAATGTTCGGATGTTTGGAAGATAAACATGTCGCATTTGTAATATTGTGTTGAACGTCTACCTTTTTTTTTGATATGAAGAAGAGAATAAGGTGGCAACAGATAGAAAAGAATACAGGAAACACTGCTACTACTACTACTATCAGTCAAAGGTGAATGCTACTACTATTCGAATCTTTTTTTCAAAAAAAAAAATCTACAGTATGATTCATCTTTTTTGTTTGTTTGTTTGTTGATTTCATCATTTGCAATCAATTCTTTTTATTGCTGTTTTAATTGTTGATTAAAACCGGAAAGAAAGAAAAAACTGAAAAGAAAAGAAAAGAAAGATTTCAAAGTAAAAACAAATTACATCATTTCCGAAGATCGACTGTAAAAAAAATTTCGGGAATTATTTTGTCGAATAGCTAGGTGTATTGCGAACAACAACAACACTTTCACTATTCGATATGAGAGAATTTAGTGTCTTTTTTTCGTTTTGTTTTATCAAAATGTCTTAATCATCATTGTCGAGAGATGAACACAGTCGCAACAAAAATTCTCGGTTAAACGAAAAAAGAAAGAGAGAGAAAAAGAAAAAAGCAAAACACTTCGCCGGGTATTCATCCACAAATTATGTACGGTAATATATCATGCATGAAATTAACATCATGGATAATGATTATCATCATCATTATTTTCTTCAAAGTCATTCAGGCGGCTGCGGTTTTTTTTCGTCGTTATTCATTATTATCGCCTTTGATATGATCATCATCATCATCATTATTTTATGCATAATAAATGAATGAATAAATAAATGATGATGATGACAATCAAACCAGTGATTTATTCTCGGTCGATGCCTCTTGTTCCATTTTTTTTTTATTTAGAGAACTTTAAATCATCATAACGACAACAAGCAGACAACTTCACTTTCACTTTAATTCAGTCATTATAGAACCACTCACTAACTCAGTCTCATAAATCATTGAATTCTGTTAATTAATTTTTATCAGTTAATTACGGTAGTTGAATTTAATTTTGTCTAAATGAAGAAATTTTATTTCGTTTTCAGCCGTTTTTTTTTCGCGATTCGATTTATGATGAAGAACTTTTCTCAAATACTTTTCATCGATTTTAATCAATCAATCCAAAATGATGTCATATCCTATATGAACGGATCCACATGGCAAAATGAACCAAAAAAAAAAAAAAAGATGGATTTTTTTTTGGCGCTAATTTCAAATAAGCCACTGCCCATTTTTGCCGCTGCTATAACCACAAATGGCGGCAGAGGGGAGTGTATACACGATGACGACAATGAACAATGATACAACGCTGCGCACACAACCACCACCATAATATAATACAGTGGTAGCGCGCAAAAAACAGCAGCCAAAATAAAATCAAAAAAAAAAAAAAAAAATTTGGATAATAAAAACGATGATGGGGGGGAAAAAAAAGGGAAATCAAAAATAATACCAAAAAATGAACAATTTCCTCCCCCCATTTTTAACAAGCCGATCAACCTACCAACCACAACAACAACAACAACCGAAAAACGTCAATCTTTGTATTGCGCTCTCTCTCTCTCTCTCCTCACATATTGACAGACAGCGAAAGTCTTTGTCTGTGTCTAACAAAAAAAAATAATAATAAATAAGGCCTGTTTTGTCCTTCTGTCCATCCACGAATCTTTCCAAAAAAAAAAAAAAAAAAAAAATGTAGGTTTGAATGTAGTCCCCCTTGTAAAATATCAATCAGATTATCATCCACATTCATTTTCCCTGCATTCATGCATTCATTTGTTTGGGGGAAAAAAATATCCATAAAATGTTTTTTTTTGAAGGGGTCTAGCTTGCTTGCTCACCCTGTTGTGTTTATGTTTGCTGCTGGTGTGTGAACCCTGTATTTTTTTTTCTGTATTCGTTCGATTCGATTATTTGGTCATCTTGGTGGATGATTTACCTTGTTTCATTTTTTATCATGATGAATGATGTAACTGATGTAACCGAATTTGAATTTGTTCATATGATTTGAAATCAAAACTTTAGAATTGACCATAGAATCTCTGAGTGTCTTTCCATCAAATTTTTTTCGCCGTTGTGACATATAAGAATCATTCGAACAAAATGCCTGTCGATAATAATGAAACAAAAACAACAACAACAAATGCTGCCAAAATGAACTTATCATCATCATCATCAACGACAACGAACATAACAACAACATTGACAACGATAAATGTTGGTCAAAAATCCGATCATCATTCATCATCGTTGTTTAATAATAATAATAATAATAATAATGTTTCGAAAAGAATCGTTGATAATGAAAATTGCATTCCATCAAAAGATTCATCATCGACAACAGCAACAACGATCATATCTAATAATGATGAAACGATTAAATATTTTTTAACAGATTTCAATGATGTTATTACTTGTTTTCTTTGTAAAGGTTATCTGATTGATGCTACCACTATAAATGAATGTCTTCATTCTTGTAAGTTTGCATTTTTGATCATTATTAATTTGATTAATTTAAATTTTCTTTTTTTTTAAAAAAGTTTGTAAAACCTGTATATTAAGATATTTTGATGATGATAATAATCCAAAATCACGATCATGTCCAAAATGTGATACACAAGTTCATAAAACTAAACCAAAACTTAATATTCGTTCGGATCCAACTCGACAGGATATTGTTTATAAATTAGTTCCTGGACTTTATAAAAGTAAGTTTTTACCGAAATTTGTAATTTTTATTTATAATTTTTCATTCAATCAAAATAGGCGAAATGAATCGTCGAAAAGAATTTTATCGCCGTTTTCCTGATAAAGGTAAAGTATTTTTTTTGCTTTGTTTTCGTCGTTTGCTCATAACATTTTTTTCCATTTTCATTTAGCTATGGGTCTTTCGAATGAAGAAAAAGGTGAAATTAATGGTGAACGATTAATCCTATCGAATGATGATCAAATTCAAATAACAATTGAATATTTTCCCGAAGTATCAAATCCATTTCCATTATTACCATTCAATAATAATGATGAAAATTCAACAATCAAACTAACAAATCTTAATCAACGAAGATATTTATTAGTTAAATCAGGAATGAGAGTTTTACATTTGAAAAAATTCATACAATATAAATATGAACTTGATCAATCGATTCAGGTGGATTTTTTCTATAAACATGAACGTCTTAAAGATGATTATACCATTATGGATGTTGCCTATATTTATTCATGGAGAAGGGTATGTATCTTTTGTTTCTTTTATTTTGTTTGTTTTATTAAATTTTTTCCCTTTACAGAATATTCCAATACCATTATATTATCTAATATTGGAACCAAACAAAACACATGATGATTATATTTGGTTAAATAAATCATCAAATATAAATGATAAAACAACAAAACTAACACCATTATCAACTGGTCGTCAAACAACATTAAGACAAACACGTTTACAGATGCGTCGAATGAGCGATTTAAATCATAATAATAATCCATTAAATGTTAATCGTCGTCGTATGCGTTCAAATAGTTCAAATGATTTACTAGTCGTTTCATCATCATCACCATCAAACCATCATAATAATAATCGAAAAAATTCCACAACAAAATTCACTCCAAAATCAGCATCAACACCATTATCGTTGAACAATAATAATAATAATTTAGATTCCAAATCATCAAAATTATTCGAATCAATATCATCCACACGGACAACGACATCTACTAATAGTTTATCATCTGAAACACCGGAAAAATCTTTTATAAATACAATAATTACAAACGCAAATGATAATAATAATAATAAGCGATCTCCGACTGAAAATGGTTCGACAGATCAGATTATTCATTCAGCTGCCAAAAAATTAAAATCTGAATTTAATAATTTATTGAATGCAGTCAATTCCAACTCTTCTTCCACCACCACCAACACTGCTGAACAAATAACTGCCCCAAAGATCTCATCAAATTCTATTGTCCAGGTTGATTCAGAATTCAAAACAAAAACAACCGAGGAAACAGAAACAAAAACGGACAGCAAAAAAAGTGAAGAAATTAAAAAACAATCTCCACAGCAACAACAAATTGCAAGTGTTACGATTCCACTTTGTTCAGAATCACAAAATTCTTCCTCATCATCATCATCTTCATCGTCAACTATATCATTGAAAATTGATGAAAATCATAAATTTAGTTTATCAAGAGTGACAACTGATACAACAAAATCAAAACTACAAGATTCCATATCATCATCATCTTCTTCATCATCTAGTTCCAGTTCATCTCGTTCATCATCACCAATGACTTTGTTGAATAAAATAATCAAAAAAGTTGAAGAAGGAAACGTTCAACAATTGAACAATGGTGGTGGTGGTGGTGGTTCTTCTTGTTTATCACCAAAATCCGAATCTCCTATTTCTGAGGCAACTATTGATAATAAGGAAAAAATCGACGCAAACAAATCATCGGAAGAAATTTCTGATCAATTACCTTCACTTATATCTGCAAATAGTATCGCTGCAATCGAATCATCATCATCATCATCGAAATCAAATCAAAATTCCAATCCAACATCATCATCTTCGAACGGTGATGGTGGTGGTGGATTAGTATTTTCAACTTTGATAACCATAAATAGCCAACAAAATTCACCAACAAATGGTTCATTGAAAATTGATAAAATTTTAGATTCACTTGCATCGATGGTCGAAGCAGATGAACTAAATGATCGTAAAGCTTTGTCATCGTCGTCGTCTTCACCGTCCAACAACAATACAAGTTTACACATAAACGGTGTTGATACGAAAAATGGCACTGTTGTCGATTCAAATAAATCAGATATGATTATTACACCAACAACAAATAATAAAACATCCAAAGTTCAAACGTCTAGCACGAATGAAAATGATATTAATGGAAAAAATCCCTTAACGAATTTATCAAATAACAACACCAGTGATAATAATGATAAATCATCGTTATCGGATTCAAAACCAGTAACGACTACGGCTACACATTTATCATTGATCAATACTGTATTGAATGGAAGCAACAGTTGCGATACAGTTGGTAACAACGGTAGTGGTAGTATGAATGATTTTCAAGAATTTCAAAAATTACTTTATGAACAGATTAATAAAGCAACATCGGTAACAACGAATCAATCAACCAAATCAATGGATAGTAATAATGCAACGAATAATAATAATAATCATAATCATCATTCATTGGAATCATCATCATCATCAGTTTGAATGATTGTTGATAGATAATTCAATCTTTCTTTGTTTGAAAATTTTATTTTCTTATATTTCTGTTTCAAATATTTTCATATATGCATCGAATGTGTCTCAAAACATATTTTATCTAATTATTTTTGTACAATTTTTCCTTTTTCTTGTAAAGATTTATTTTATTTTACTTAATTATTTTTGATAATGAATAATAAAAAAAAAATAATTGGATTATGGTTAAGTAATAAAAAACAATAAATGGACTAAACAGTGTATGAATAAAATAAAAACAAATTGCACTTGTATTTTCTTTTTAAATAAAAATTAATCCCTTCTATATTAATTATTATGGATTACAATGAAGTATAGTTTTAATAAATTCAACAGCTGAACAAAATTGTGTCCAATAATATGATTGTTCACCGGTCATTTCATTCAGATAAAATGTATTAATATATTCAATTGTTGATAATATTGATCGAGTATTTGATTTAATTACAACGAATATTAATACAGGTAAAAGATCATCAGCCGAAGGTATACTATTTTGACTTGTACTTAATAATGTCATTATATGTGAACAACAACGATATATACATTGAATTTTATCTCTTGGTGTTTTATATGCTGATAACAGTAATAATTCAGCTTGTGCTGATGGCCATGGACTAGTTGTAAAAAATTTTGTTGGAATATTTAACAATTTTGAATTATGTGATAAATTTAATGATAATTGATTGATTTGTTGATGAAGAATTTGATCACGAAGTTGATCAATATCACCATTTGGATAAAAAGCTAATAAATAAATTCGATTCATTAGATGTCTTTCGAGTATTTGTCTCAGTAATGTCAATTGTTCATCGGTAAATAATTTTGTTTGTAATTGATCAATAGTATGATCTAATAATCGTTGTACCAGTGAAGCTTTTTCATCAGTTAACGTTGTTGAATCACGAAATTTTCGAATCAATTCTTGAATATTCTGTTCTTGTTTTTCTAGAATGGATCGAACAAGAAATGAAATAATAATAAAATCAGTTGATGAATGATCTTTATGTAGTGATTGTTGAACGGAATCAATTTGTTTTAATCTTTGTAATAAATATTGACGTGATTTTAGCAGATAAATTATATAAAAATTTCTTGTTTTCCAATCAATTTCAATTTTTTGGAAAATATTTGATAATTCTTCTTGATCAATATCCTGTACAATACGTATTATATCCATAATCAATACTGATGTTGAAATTTCATTCATATCATTTGATTCGGATAATAAAATCTGTTGAAAAAATGAATTTTGTTAATGAAAATGAAAAAAAATTAGTAAAAAAATCTTTACCTTTAAAAATAAAATAAAATCATTTTTGTTTGAAAGATTTAAAAATTTATAACGACGATAAACATGAAACAGATCGATTAATGAAATAAGTTTATAAATTTTCAGATGAATATCGCCAAGAAAATCAATATCAACAATTGAATTTTCAACATCATTATTATTTAAAATAATCAGATCAGGACTGTAACGTTGTTGATTGGAAATGTTTTCATTTTCCATTGATTGCTGTAGTTGTTTGGTCGTCGTTGTTGTTGAACGATATTTATCAAATATTTTATCAGTTTCAGCTTTTATTTCAGTTCGATCAGCAATGATCGATTGATTACCAATTTGGACATTATTATTAGTTTTAGATAAATCAATTAAAGATGTTCGTTGTTGTTGTTGTTGTTTATTATCCTTACTTAATGAAATATTTTTCATTTTATCTTTGATATTTTTAAAACTTGAAATAACTTTTTTTCCAACAGGATTACCACTACTGGATTTATTTGAATTTGATTCATTCAATTCGGGAGAATTATTACGATTTCGATCCATTTCGTTAGATGAAATATCTAAATCGACCAAATCACCAAGCTGTAATGTTAATGTTCCCAATGATTGCATATTAATTTCATCATCAAATGTATCATCTAATGATTGATTGATTGGATCATTTTCAATTTCATTTATCGGTTGATCATCATCATCATCATCATTTGAACGTAACAATGATGCTAAATTATTGTTGGTTTTATCAATCGATGTGTCATTGATAATCGGTGAACAAGGAAAATTATCAATTTCCAAATTAAATAATTTATCAATCTCTTCACGAATTCGATCAACAGTTTCATTCAAAATAATTTGTCGATCGATAATATTACCGAGAATTTTTTCTTCATTTTTCATACCAATAAAACGCTGGGAAAAATTTTGATTCGTAATTTTGAAAATTTGTTTTGAATTAAATAAACATTTTAATGTTGGTAAATTATCGCCATTATTCGCCAGTAAATGTTTGATATTCAAACTGGAAAATTCATCCAAACTATCAATATAATCACTAATGGATTTTGATTTTCGTATACTACGTTCAGATTTTAATGAATTAACTTTACCATCATCATAATCAAAATTCAGTATCGATTGTGGTAGTTGACGATAATAAGTATTTAGCGGTTGATCTGGTTGATCATTACGTTGTAAAAATAAACCAATATATTCAAGTAAAAATTTCAGTTCAATATCCGAACAAAGAAAATATGGTAATTCAATCGATTCAATCGATGTTGATGATCGTCGTTGTTGTTGTTGTTGTGAAATTGAATCTGTTGAATTTTTAGCAACAATAAATATATGTTCCATAATGAATGATAAACAATTTCGATCAAACAATGAACAAACTTGTTGATAAGGACCAGATACTTTTTCCCAATTTGATAATGCAAGCATTTGTATAATCTGTGCACATTGCATCAGATTATAATGTGCAATATGATTAATATGCAGATCGGTTATACCGAAAAGATCAGGATTTTGAATGGCCGGACAAATTAAATAGAAAAAAATCATATCAACAAATATTGAATTAACTTTTTGATAATCAAAACGTTCGATTAATTTCGTATACATTCGTACCATCAACCAAATTAGTGATTGTGGAAATGCATAAATATTTTCTTTCAATGACCGAATGAAATTATTAACAAAATATTTCATTTTTTGTATGGTCCATTTTTTATATTTATTCAGATTTTCTTCATATTCGGGTGAATTTTCTGAGCCAAAATGTTTTTGTCGTTCTTCCTGACAAAATCGCATAACAGCACGATTAGAATCAATATCCAAAAACAAACTATCTTCGGATAAAACCAACATTATCGGTTTAGTCAATGCTAGACGATAAAATGTTTTCAATTCGGATTGTTCATCACAAAAATTACGATAAACAATACCGAATGATGAATTTTTACTATGCATATGACGACGTAAATCATCATAAAAATTAATATAAATTTCAATCAATTCTTCCATCATATCGATTAATGATAATTTATCATGATCCAAAAAACAATGATTATAAACAGTCGATATGATTATTTTACATAAAAGATCCAAAAAATTTGAACATTCTTTTTCCGCATAAAATAATAAATATGAAATTGATTTTGGATTATCACGTAAATGTTGTAGCAATTGACTAAGTAATGATTCATTTGAACCAAATTTTTTATAACCTTCAATAAATTCAGATTGTTGAATTTTATTCGATTCATTTATCAGGTTTATTGGATCATTTATATTGTTGTTTAATTGATGACTTTCATGTAGTTTATCACAAATATAACGTTGATTTTTAATAATCCACATTGTTCGAATCATTGAATCAATTTCATCGTTTACCTGTTACATGGAAATAATTTAGTTAATAATCATCATCATCATCAAATTACAAACATACATCATTATTAAGCTTATGAATAAATTGTCGTTCATCTTGTATATGAACATATTGATGGCGAACTTTTTCAATAAGTTGTACAAGATCCATTTTGCATCGAATTGAAAAAAAAATCGTTCGAATATAACACTTTATTGTGATATTATGATTGTAGGATGTTGGAATGAATAAACGAAAAAGGAAAAAAATTCAATATAAAAAATCGATGTTGTTGTTCTTTTTCACAAAGAAACGACCATCATCAAATTATCATTAATCTTCGTTTACTGCAGTCCACATTCGATTTGCATAAATGATTTATTTATTTAAGAAGAATAACAATAATAAAAAATGAAAGGAAATATGACGACGTTTCTCTTTAATAATCGTTTCTTTCTCTCTCTTGCGTTATTTTACCACTCTTCTCTTTTTTTTCAATCTAAAAAACGCCGAGAAAATTGTCAAAAAAAAAATGAAATCTTTTTGACAAGTGTTGATACCCAAAAAAAAAAACATTCGATACTAAAATTCGATACTATCGATACTTCTTTTTTTTTGGTCAAACGATTATCATTCGAATATTTCGATTCGAATTTCAACAACAAACAGGTGTCAAACAGAATTGTCATTAATTGAAAAAAATAGAATATTTCTCATTTTATATAATAAAAAGAACAATTTTATTATTTTTTTATTGAGATCAAATTAATACACAATTATTGAGTAATGATATATTTTCTGAAAATAGTGCTAACTTTTTTTCAGGTATTCAAGTTCATCATATGATCGTAAATTTTTCATTAATTCTTTTAAGGACTTATTCTTCCTCACAGATTCGGTTTTTTTTGAAAGGAATGTAGCCCGTTTGAACATCATAATCGCCAAAATTTAAAAGCTGTTTGATAATTGCAATAAAATTTGTCATGATTGGATGTGATGATAAACAATTTTGATTAATCAAATGATTATGGGATTCCGGCATAGTTGTTTGTAATCGGAAAATCTATGAAAAAATTATAACAATAAATTGAATGATTAGAAAAAAAACTTACTTGAATTAATCAAATCAAAATTATTCCATAATGGAATGGGAAATCTCGGTTTATTTTTTGGTCCACAATCGATTGTATTTTCAACATTGAGTTCCAATGTTTTATCATCATCATCAATATATCCACAATCGTAAGTTTGATTGGAATTGAGCTCGAAAGTTTCATCATCAATATCATCAACAAAGAATGAGCCAAAATCATAAGTATTGTGCTGGGAGTTCTCATCATCATCACTATCGATTTGAGCCAAAAAATTCAAACATCATTATCATTTTCTATTGAGTTTTTTAACGAACTAAATTGTTCGTCATCATCATCCGAATCCATTTGATGTTTATTCGGAAAAAACAACAAAACAAAAAGATTTAAAAAAATCTAACAAAAACAAAAAAAAAACAATATCAAAAAAACAATTTTCCTATTTCATAAACACGTTTTTTAGAAATAGGAAAAACAAAGCTCTTAAAAACTCAGGAAGATTGAGCAAGATCTCTTTTCGAAAATTTATCGTTCATAAAGGAGAGGATATGGTAATATTTTCGCTCATTTTGATATTTTCGCTCAATTATATTTTACGCTGTATAAGTTTTGCCAAACCGCCAATATTTGTGGCGATTTTTGGGCTGTGGCTATTTTCTCAACTGGCTATTTTTAATTTGTGGCAATTTTTTAATAAATAAATAAATAGGATTATAATCAATCATCAAATTCGACATCGACAAAAAAAAACTGTTTAAAAATTCATAACTAATTTTTTCTGTTTTGTTTGCTAAATATCTTTCAATGATGTGATGGCCATGACAATTGCGATGTTTTCAAGTACAACAACAGGTTGGTTCAATGATGATGAATTGAATTTTGTCCAAAAATAGCATAAATTTCATTTAAATTCTCAAAAAAAATAATCATTTTATTTACAAGAAATGTGTGAGTGTGTATGTGAGAAAAAATATATCATTGAAAAAATAAATACAAATTATTCTTTGATGAGATGAAATGATGTTTTACAATATTTACATTGAACGAAAAAAGAAAAGAAAAAGAGTATAAAATGAATATGAACACGATTGATAATGATTGATTCAAAAAATTTGGTCAGTTTCAGTAACCGATTCGGCTCGTTAATTTTTGTTTGCGGCCAATGAAACCGCAGCCATAAACTTTTGCCATGAAAACTTTAATAATTACTATCATCTAATTTAGCACGAAATGATGTTTGTTTTTTCAATGTTGCAACCCTTGTCAATGTTGATGATATATATGGTGATGAACTACTATTCAATGGCGTTAGAATCCGGTATTTTTCTGGTTCTTCATAAGTGTTTGGTTCACTTGATATCGTATGATTCATCATCATTAAATCATCTGGTTTAGTAAGTTTTTGATCTCTATAAAAACATGTAATCAATATCAGTGCTGTTAAACCAGAACTTAGTATAACGGCAAAAATTGTTGCAATAATTAACATTGTCCAATCATTTAAACGATGATCATGTTTAATTCGTCGATGATAAATACCATTATCATCACTGTTCAGGTTTTGATTGTTTGATTGACAATATTTTATTTCTTTAAAATGTCCATTACATAATGAACGATCCGATAGATGACAAATACGTTCACGAATCTGTATACGATTATCACCATCACCATTACCATCATTATCGCATGTTGACCATTCACTCCAATCCGACCAAATTGATTCATCATCACAGCTACATTGTTTTCTGTAAAAAAAAGAAGGGAAAAATGAGAAATTACAAATTCAAAATTACAAGTTCGTAAAATTACTACTTACATTAAAAAATCTTTTCCTTTAAATCGATATAAATGACCACCACAATTATCACAATATTTTAATGAAACAACACGTTGTTCATGTTTAGGTAGTTCATTATTTTTTACCATTATAATTTCATTACGTTGTTCAACAATTTCATTCATATTCAAATCATTTATAAACCAATCGGTCCATTGAATTGATTTTGATGATGCTGATGATAAGGATGATGCTAATGCTAATGATTTTTTATTACATTCACATTTAATTGTTTCCAGATATGGTCCTTGACAATAATCATTATCAACAGCATTACCATTAAAATCTAAACATTGTCGGGTACGTTTACTAATTGTTGATTCATTACAATCCATTGATAATGATGAACAATTTGTCCATTCACTCCATGTTGTCCATTGACAATATGGTAGATTATCACATTGACGTTCTTCACGATCATTACCTTGACAATATTTACCATTATTTAATGGTAATGGATTATTACATTGACGTTGACGATATTGTCGACCATGGCCACATGATGGTGTACAACTTGACCAATTTGACCATTCTGACCATTCACCATTACGTGTACAATTTGTTACTTCATATTCAAATCCATCAAAACAACCATTCGTTTGTTGTTGTTGCAGATCGTTTGAATTACAAGGCCGTTTACGACATTTACACGATTCTTGTTGTTGTTCTGTAGTAGATGTAGATTTTAATCCAGTTTCACTACAAGAAAACCATTTAGTCCATCGTCGTGGACAAACAGATTGTTGTTGATCTGATTGTAACCAATTTTCATCTTTTAAATTATTATTCGGTGGTCGTGTACATTTCATTTTAATCTGATTCCAACCACAATATGGATCACCACTTTGTAAACATTCATTTTTATTTGAATATTTATGACATTGATGTATTGATTGACGAATAAATTCATTTTCCGTTCCAAAATAAATGGATTCAGAATCTTTCCAAAATTTCATTGATAAAAATTGATTTTCATTCGGATTGATTAATTGAATTTCATCAATCAAACATGATTCGGTTATATCGGGCCATTTAACATATTTTAATAATTTTCCATCGGTTGTAGCAATAAATATTACTTCAATAAAATCATAAAATTTCGTACGAATCCAATCAACAGCAATGAATTTAAATTGTTCATTTTTAGAAAATATGAATGGCCGACCATCCAACGGTTGAACTGCGTCATCCATTTGTTGATATTTTGAATTTAATGGTAATTTTGAATAATTTTTTATCGATTGAGTGGTTGAATTCATCGAAGAAGTCGACGATGATGATGATGATTGACATTCAAATACATCATGATTATCATCTTTACGTTCCCATAAATGTGATGATGATGGTTGATAACGGAATGGACCACGAAATGCATTCAATACGGATTGCATTGTAAATACACAAACAGCCGAACCATGAATGGAATTTCTATATTGGAAGAAACGAAAACGCAAAGAAAAGACAAAATGCGTCAAAGAATTTTCAAAATCAAACAAAGAAGAAAAAGAACATTATACTTACGGTGGTGTATTGAAAATAGCATACAACGTACGTGTATTACCATATTCAATAAAATCAACTGATTGTATTTCATCAAAATAAAATGGAAATAAACCAGGTAGTGAACAATTTATTCGTGCTTTTAGAAAAGTTGTCCAACTTTCACGATAACCCGGATCATTCGTACAAACACGACCAATACGTGATACAATATGTTTACCTTGATTTAAAAATTCAACAGCCGTTTCACGAAACAAAAAATAAACATGTTGATTAAATTCAAAACTAAATATAAAATTTGCATCAACACTAATCCAATTTGAATCATGTTGTAAACTACGAACAACACTTCGTACACTACGACGATCAATATAGGATGCTATTGATGATGCTTTTGTCGATGTTGTTGTTGTTGTTGTTGATGGAACGATTTTAGTTTGTTTAAATATTGATAAATCAATACCACGAAAATCCAATGGACCACCATAGAAAAATTCACCATTCCGTGTTAGCAATGATGTTGTATTCCAATATGGACAATATGGATTTATTGATATACTTTTACTGATAATTTCAAATGAATCACCACTTAAACGTCTTATTTCACATTCCGGTGAATAGGCATTTGTTCCACAGACAAAAATCTGTCGATCTCGATTATTGATTTCATTGGGCATTTCCAATAATGTTGTTATGAAATTATGACATTCCTCTTGTTTCATTCCTTTCATATGGCATTTATTTTTCTTTTCAATTGTTGGCGGTAGAAAATAATCACGTTTAAATGTTGTAGCGAAATTTTTTAGATTTAAAACCAGAATATGATCCCTGTTTGATTGATTGATTGATGAGGAAAAAACAGAAAGAAGAGAAAAAAAGATAAATTAGTCTGGTGTTTACAACAACAACAACAACAATAAATTAGGCAAAAGTGATGAATCAGTGTGAGATAAGGTAGAAATGTGATTGATTGATTGATTGGATAACCTGGGTATATCCAACCGAAGAAAAGAAGAAAAGACATTCATCAAGTTTTCAACGAAAAACAAATGATAAATCTGTGCATGGCTGGTGTTTTGAATTTATTACCAAAAAAAACTTCATTTGTGTCATTTCAACAACAAGAAAGAAGAAAAACACCATTACCTGAATTGAAAGATTTTTCGAAATTCAAAATTCAGAAATTCAATTCAACAATTTTTAAAATAGCACCGAAAAAAATTATTTTAAAAGTTTTTTCATTTCATTTTTCACATCCAACGCAAAATTCAATTCAATTTACACTATAGTTTAACCATATTGTTTGAAAGATGTCATTAAAAAACAACAACATTGTGTTCGGTTATTCAACAGTGGTTGTGGGGTTATATTAATCCAAGTTTTCTTTTTCGGGTTTTTTATCACCATTAATGGACACATTTTTTGGGCTGAATTATTCGGCCAAAACAACACTTCTTGAAAAGTGAAAATTTAAATATGCAAAACGTGTGTGTGTTTGTGGGGGAGGAAGGGAGGAAAAATCATACGAAGAAAAGTAACTTTTTGGCTTAATTTTCAATTAGATTTTTTTTCGAAGATAGCCACCACCAGCATCACAAATGAAAACGCGCCCTGTTTTTGAATGTCGTCGTTCGTCGTAGAAATATATAGCTCACCATAAATGGTAACAAAACACACACTTTCCGCTTTTAATAATGATAATATTATTGTGGTTGTTTTGGTCGCTGACAAAATACATTACTTCTAATTGAAACACACACAGGAAATCTAATCAATCCACATACTGATTATCTGATCACCACTGATCACTGATAATAATCATAATAAAAAAGTATCGATAAAAGTGAATAATGAAAATCAAGAAACTATACAAGATGATCATCAGTGTAATGAGTAAATTTGAATCTAGATTAGTGTTTTTTGGTTGAACAAAAAAGTCTAAAAATCAATGTGATTGAAAGCAGAAACAGACAGAAAAATTAGTCCGAAATGTATCAAACAGATGGATGGAAATAAAAATCAATGGCTGTCATTAGCCAAAAAAAAAAATTGACTTAAGGCAATCTGATGATAACGACAACAATGATGATGATGATGATTGGCTACTTTCAAAATGAATCAATTTTTTGTTCACTGTTTTTTTTTGGACAAAACTAAAATCCAATAGTAACGATTATTGATCCTGATCTGAATGAAATATTGGGGATGTTTTTTCACTGTTGAACGCCTTATGATTTGAGGGAGAAAAAAAATTGATTTGCTCAATACTCAAGTTGAAGAAAAAACCGAAAAAAGTAAAAAAAAGTTGCCTAAAACGATCATCATCATCATTGAATCGAGTTGTTCCTGTAATAACTAATTGGTATACAAAAATTACAATGATGAATGAAATGAAATCAGAAAAAAAAATGGAAAAAAATCAGAAAGAAATCAAATCGAGATCAACAAGAGAAAAACTTTTTGTTTTATTGAAATGAAGATTCTTATGTCGAAAAAAAACTTTCTTTTTTCATTCAATTTCTACAACAAAAAAAAATGAAAAAAAACATCATTCTTTTCTTTAAGCATCTTTTGAGTTATTGTCCTTTATGAAAAGTTTCATTCATTCATTCATTTTTGTTTGGTCTAAAAATATCAATGATCCACACCTGATGATGATCCAGATCTTTTTTTTTTGAAGAGAGGGGGCTTACCTAATTATAATTAAATTGTAATTATGTAAAAAAAAACGAAAAAAAACCCAAAGATCTAATTCAATGATGATAACCAGGTAAAATCAAAAAAAAAAATCCAATTCTAATTTGTTTCAAGAAAAATTAATTCTTTCTTTTACACTGAACCAAATGTTTGACGAACATCATTATCATTACTTGGGTTATCCATAAAAAAAATCCGATGATTAATGAATATAATGGGGGGGGAGACAGCCATTAAAAATCAAATATGTTTAATATAGCTGATGATTAGATATGATAATAATTAAAAAACAAAAAACTGAAATATTGATCTAATAAATAGGAAAAAAAAGTTGGAGTTTTTCCACATAAAAAAAATACATCCTGAAATCAGATATTATCATCGAAAAAATTTCTCTTCAAACACCCACACCTTTGCCTAAGAAGTTTCGGGGGAAAGAAAAAGAAGAAGTTCTTAAATCAAAAGAAAAAAAACCTTAGATCATTTAGCAGCAGCCCGAAAAAAAGAAAAGTGTGCCATAATAACCACCATATGACCAAAATGCAGAAAAATATTGATAAATGATATTAGGATTTTCTTAAGTTTTTTGCAAAACTTAAGAAGAAAAATATATCTTAAATAAGAAGGTTTTCCTCACTTATTATGATGATATTTGATGACTTTTTTTTTCGTTGCCAAATATTCATTTCAAACCAGAAAATCAGAAACAAAAAATTATGTTCGGGTTATCAAATAACAACAAGAAACAAAAATCGTTTTTTCTGGTATGGTTTTCATCAAGAAAATATGGTTGACATGTGTGTGTGTGTGCAAATGACATTTTTGATCATTTGGTTGTTGGTCTTTTGATTACGAATCAACAACAGCATTTAAGCACATGTTTTTTCTTTTCCAAATTTGCCGGTTTCGGTTAATGATAATGACGAAGACTATTGATTTCAAATGAAAATTTTCAAATTCAAAGAAGAAAAAAAAACATGTCAATAACAAATCCAGATGTGAAATTCAAACGAGAAAAAACCATGTTTTTTCCATTTTTGAATTTAAAAAAAAAAATGACAAGTGAAGTCAACTTGACGTGATTTCATTATTCAAAATCATAAAAGCACATCCATTATGATGATGATGCTAAATATGTAACCGTTAAACACAAACAAACACAACAATAACCGGAGATATTATTCCATTATTAGGTGGTACCATCATTACATAATAATCTAGGCAACGATGATAATCATCATCATTGAATGAATGAAATGAAATGACTTGCTGCCAATGGCATAATCATCATCTTGATGATGATGATGATAATCGTTTTTTTTGTTCATTTCATTTATGGAACACAAAAACCCCATAACTTGGTTAAAATAGCCGTTTTTTTTCGTTGTTGAATGAATTCATCAAAGAAAGACAATTTCATTTTCATTTTGCATCATTATTTTCTGTGTATATGGCCCATGCAATAATCTTCATTTTTTTCGAAAAATCCGAAAATCTTAATGGAACTTTTTTTTAGCTTAAGTGTTTTACATTTGCATTATGATGATGATGATGTTATGATAATATGATATGTTACATAAACATCAGTTTCAAAAAAAAAAATGATATTTACATCATCATCATCAAGATTAGGCTTTACTTTCTTTTTTTCCAAAGATTTCTTGATTAAATATACACACACACACAAAACATCAACTATTTTAACTTATTAACTTTTTTTCTGTTTTGGGACAAAAATAGTTGAAATAGTGAAAGTAATTTTTGGGTTTTGGAACCAAAAAGCTCCACCTAAAAAAATGAATGAATTTTTCCAGCATCCATTGTTCCATTGTGTGACAAAACCAGCAGCCAGGTTTTCTTTCCGTTTTTTTGTTTCAATCCATTCATTTATCCAATGTGAGCTTTGTTGCTTCAAATTCAAATTTTTGTTAATTAATTTTAAAAAACAAAAATTTTATAATTGAAAATTGGAAGTGAAAGTTTGCAAGAAGTATTTCAAATGGCAAAAGAAACAAGACATTTGAATAAATCAATCAATTTCAAAAAAAGACAAAAGACTTTCGAAAGATTCGATTTGATCCAATTTTTTCGATCCAAACGATTATTTCAACACAAAACACAAGCTGAATTGAAAAATACAAAATACAAGGGAGGGCGAAACATAGACAGAAGCGCGATAGTGAGATCGATGATCAAAATGATTATTTCATTTTTTTCACTGTTGAAACAAAATTATTATTGATCTAGTCCCTTGGACATTTTCAGTCAGTAACAAATATCGTTGTTGTTTCTTCCCTCCACAACAACACACAACAACAACAAAACTCGTTTGAACAAGATTCGAATTCGAACGTTTCGATTCGAATCGACTATTATAACAGCAGTGATACCAAGTATAACTGTGCATTTTTTTCGAGCAACAACAAACTTTTTGAACTTTTTTTCTTTTTTGATTTTCTTCTGATTGTTGTTAATTTCAAGCTCATTTACCCATTGCGAATCTCAATTATCCATCATCATCATCATCATTATGTGCACGAATTGAGAAAATCTTTTTCTGCAATAAATTTTCCAACTGGTCAAACGGTCACACACGGGTACCCCCTCCAGAAAAAAAAGCGAGCAAATAAAAAACGTGCATTGTGTTCATCACCTTTTTTTTGAGAATGGAAAGACGATATTTGATTCTTTTCTTAAAGAAAATAAAGAAAGAAAAAATCTGGGACCAAAAAATCAAATTTGTTAACCCCGTTGTTGTTTGATGATGATGACATGTACAGGGTGTATATAGTCACCATTAAAACGACCTTGAATATCAAAAATACCCTTCCTCCTTAAACTAATAAATTTTCAAACAAAATTCAAAACCTTGAAATTTATTAGTTTTCTGGACAATCCTTTTTTATTATTATTTACCAACTTTTTTTGTCCTGTTGTTCATTTTCTATTGAAAAATCGATCAAAAATCACAGAAAAAGAAACAAACAATATCAAGGAGCGACTATATCGACTATATTGGCGAGAAAAAAATAATGTTACAATTTTCTTTTCCCAAAAACAGAACAGAAAAAACAAAAACATTGTCAATAATCATTGTCCAAGTCTAGTTTTCTCATCTTTCGTCGTCTATCATTCACTATCTGATCAATATTTACCATCATCGAATGATTGTGGCCTATATATAAAAAGATAGCAACAAAAAAAACGAAAATGAAGTCACTTTTTTTTCATTAACATTTTGCACAAATAAACACACACAGAGATATCGCTCAACAAGTGTTAAACAGCTTTGGATTGAAGCAAACAAAAACTGAAAATGAAAAAAACTTTGGCCCTCGATGATGAAAAAATGATTAACTTTTTTTTCGATTTTTGCAAATCAAGATCAAGAATTTCTAGGATTTTTGTTTTCTCTCTGTCCAAGACAAACAAACTATTGATCAAAGTCAAGGACAAGTGTCTATCTCTGTCTCTAATGCAGAAAATAGTCAACAAAATTGGACAAACATAGAAAATGATGATGATGATGGTACTAACAAGAACGATGATGACCATAGCAGCAATAAACATAACAAGATAATATTTTGGACAAACAAACATTTGCGATCAAATATAATCAAATCAAATAAACAAACAAACAAAAATGGATAAATAACGCTATATGGCTGGTGAACACATCTTTGATATTCTAGTCCAGTTCAATGCAAACAAACAAACATATTTGGATCAGATGGAAGAAAATTTCCAAGGCAAAAAACATGTTTTGAAATAAAATCCCCATAAAACAAATTGAACATTGAAAATGAATCGAATATGAAAATCATCAAGTAAGTGATGAATATCATCATCATCATCTTTTAAACGACGGTAAAAACGGGTAAAGTATATCATTACATCATTGAGAAAGAAGGAAAAGTTTTTCCCGTTTTAAATTTTTCGCTTGTTATCATTGAATGATGAATGTTTGTCTGAATGATAAGATATTTCATCTGGTCAAGTAATTTTTTTAAAATCTATTTTTACCTTACTGGTCTCAAATCAAATCAAACATCACACACAAGTATTTTGAATTTGAATCGTCGGTCAAACTTATCACAAGTTGATAAAGTACACTAAGGTCGATCTCAGGTTTGATATCTCAGGTAAGTACCGGATAAATAAACGGGTTAAAGCAAATATTATGCAAATAAATTTCTGCAAAAAAAAAATTCACACAGCTTAAAAACGAAGAAAAAAACCGAAACTAAACAAACACTGCAAAATTTAAAATTTATTATCATCATCATCATTCAATCCAACGATGATCCGATAACAGAGATAAGTAGAAGAAGAAGAAGTAAAAAAAGGTCAAACGAAAATTATAATAATTTGTTGTTGTTCCAACAACAACAATATTGGTCATTACAATTTCATAACATTTCTCCAAGTCTAACTTTGTGTGTGACTCTTCTCATTTAAATATTAAATGATTATGGATGTAAACACGCAGCAAAGTAAAAAGCAAAAATGAAATTACTAATTAAGGTGCAATTTGAATGCAAGTTTTTTCTTTAAAAAAAATGAAAAATAATTAACATTTTTTTTGCTCGTTCATTTCATTCATCAATTGAAAAGGATTTTGAAAATTTTACAAAATGAAGATAAAGCAGAAGAGCAGCAGAAATACTTAAAATCCAATTTGAAACAAGAAAATCATGCATGTGGCATATACAAATTGATGATGATGATATGACACGATAATGATGATGATTAACATTGTCGAAATAGTCATCATAATAATTATCATTTTTGTAATTGAAAAAAAAAGTTATAGCTAGGTCAGCTAGTGAGCATGCGCGTTATCCGTTATATGATTAATTAGTTTTTAGATGAAAGTAAATTAGTGATGATAAATTGACAAACAGAATACATACCTTGCACCAACAAAAATTTTTAAACGATTTGCATCAAATAACATTGGTTTATAATGTTTAATTTCTGGATGTGAATATCGTTCCAAATCATTATCCAAATCTAAATAAACAGAAAAAAAGTGTGAGAACAAAATCAATTATCAAACGGAAAAAATATGAGGGGGAGGGGGAAATTTAAATGTACGAAAAGATTCACAAAAACATTTCTTTCATTTCCAAATAATCATCATTATCATGTGAACATGTCATTGATATTTTTGCTGAAAAATTATCATTTTCATGGTTCCTGTTCTAGTTGTTGATGAATGTATTTTTTCTTTTAAAAATTCAATAGAGAGAGGATCCAATGTTTTTTTTTTGATTGAATCAAATTAATTGATTTGAATAAAGTAAACAACAAAAAAAACCAAAAAATCCACCAACCAAATCAATGTTGGTGGCGTAAATGAGGAGATTTTCAACGAAAAAACCAAAGAAAAAAAAACAAAATTTTCTGATCGGTTGAATGGACAATGATGATGAACGCCAAAAAAGATTTAAAAAATCAATTGAAAATCGGGGTCGTTCATAGATTTGAAACTTTTCAAACAAGCAAAATGAAAAAATCCTTATTTTTTTCCTTTTCACAAAAGGTGTTCAAATCAATAAAAAAAAAACAGGTAAAGTGCTTTTGCTGCACCCAATAGCCAACCAGCCAGCCAATATTTGCTAATCAAAAAAAAAGTTTCAAAGACGACCCTTTTCAAGACAAGAAAATTTCTATTTTTTCAACCGATAAAAAAAATTGGACCAATAATCAATCAATCAATCATTTTGAATGAGATTTTTATTTTTACTTTTTTTTTGCTAACCCTTGGTTAGTCTTGGTTAGTTTTTTTTGGTGAAAACGTCAACAGACGATAATAATGATTATTATTGGAAAAAAAAATTTTTTGATCTAGATTTTATTGAAAAAAAAATCTATTATTATCGAAACAACGGTCAACGGGTTGATTGATTTAATGAAAAGAATGGACGAAAGACAAGGACAATTTGATTGAAAAGAATTCAATGAAAATTCTCATATCAATTACGAAAGTCTGTATGGTGGTGGTGGTGGTTATTCAATTGAAACTTTTTTCTGTTGAAAAAGCAGAGCAAGCAAGCATCAATCAGTTCAGTTCAAATTTTTTTTCACTCGGTCACAATGTTATGGATTTTTTTGTTTTTGTTTTTTGTTTTTCAATCGAAACAAAAAATCCAAAAAGGGATGCCAATTTTCATTTTCGTTTTTTTTTTGTTTCAAAATTGAAATTTTTTTTTCATCGTTTCAGCGTGAAAAACAACAAAAATTTTCCAAATGGAAAAAATGCTATTGGCAAACTCTTTCTCTGCGAAAAAGAAGTCAGATTAGACAAAACAAACATTGGTGGTGGTGGTGGTGTTGAACGTTTTGAACTTAAACTTTTTAAAAAACAAATCAATGGCTTTAGCACCATGGCCATGCCTTTTTCCTCTGATATGTTTTGGCATCTTAAACTTGGAAACAACAACAACAAGAAAATATTCAATTTTTGATTGATAATCGAATCGAATCTGAAGAAGAAAAAAAATGTTTCGTCATATTTATTGATTGAATCCTATCAATCTCTCTCGCTAGCTGACACACACACTCCCCAATCAACAACAATAGAATTTTCTTTGATTTTCATATTTGTCATTTGTCGTTTTGGGAATTTGTTCGATGAAAAAAAGTCTATTACTTTTTTCAATTGTTTTTTTTCGAAAAAATTATCAATTTCATTTCATTTCGTTTCACAATCATCATTATGATAGAAAAAAATCCTTCTTGATCTTCTTATTATAATCTATATGCAAAAAACAACAAAAAATGGAGGAAAAATCGAGGAAAAAACAACAGCGCAGGTAAACGAATGGACAACAACAGGAGAAAATCCGGAAGCAAATAGGAAAATCTGGAGAAAAAAAACAAAAATATTGACAAAATCGATAGATTTTTTTTCAGGTAAAAACAAAACGACAACAAAAACGAACGAACCAAACCCGATAATCATCAACCAGAAGAAAAAAAACGATCAAACCACCAATCATTATCCGTTGTTGTTGTTGTTGTTTGGCCAACAACAACAACAAAAATGATAATGATAATAATCATCGGGTTGTTGTTGTTGTTGTTGCAACCCAAAAAAAAAACAAAACAAAAGAATAATGTTTTTTTTTTGCTTTTTTTGCCTGTCAGCAATTTGTTTGACAGATTTTTTTTGTCGATTTTTGACAGAAAAAAATCGAGAGAAAAAGAGAGAAAATCCTTCCATGTTACATCGGATGATGATGATAATGTTTGTTTGTTTGCTTGTTACCGTTGCTTTCATTTCGATCATCATCATCATCGGATGTTGATGATCGAAAAAGATCTAGGGATATATCATTATTATGCACTGTGTGTGTGTGTGTGTTTATACGTGTTATGTTCGATCGATGATTATATCATCGATCGATCGATCTATTGATCGACTATTTCAACAACACCGGAACCAAAAAAAGAAAAAAAACAGCCAAATGAAATGTTTCACGGGTGAAATGATTTTCATTCGTTTGTTGTTGTTGTTGAAAAATGAAAAACTATAACAATCATCATCATCAATAACTTGAAGAAAAAAAACATGATGATTATTGTGGATATATATGATAGATTGGATTGTCAAAATGTAACAACAACAACAACAAAAAACATTCAGAAATTATGTAATCATCCCCAACAAACATCCATCCACAAACATTGTCCAAATTTGAATAATTTGTAAAGGCAGGCAGGCGGTTTCGAAATACTTTTACTTTTTGCTGTTTTGTTGTTTGAGAATCATAATATTTCATAATTTAAGGAAATGTAGCTGCTGCTGTTTAGGGCTGATTTTTCCAGTTTTTTGTTTACTGATCATCATTTTGTTTTATCGGGCAGAAAAATTTCCCGAAAAAAAACAAAAACAAACAGTAAAATTGAAATGGAAAACAAAACAAAACAAAAAATGACATCAATGACAAACGATAAACAGAGAAAAATTTTTGTTTTGTTTTTGTTTTCACCAGAAGCATCATTATTATCAGCATTTTCAAATATTTCCAGCAATATTTCCAATGTGCTCAACCCAAATGGAAAACAGAGAAAAAAAACTTGTTGATTATCGACGATAATCATTCAACAACAACCTTATCTTTTACCACCCAACAAAAAAAATGAAACGATATCAAATCCAAAAACAAAAAAAAACTTAGTTGTGTGTATATAGTCATATTTCTATGTAAACAAACATACATCATAATAATCATCGAAGAAGAAAGAAAAACAAAGATCTTGATCAATGATTGACTGATCAACAACAATCAAAACATTACATTTTTTTGTTTTGTTTTAGCCATAAACTTGTTGTGGTTGCATACAACCAAGAAAAAATATATAAAACATCTTAAGCGGACATCTTCAAAAAAAAAGAAAAAAAAATCACAAAAAGTTTGATGTTTACGATAACAACAACCAGGTAAAATATATGCAACAGGTAACCACTATAACCACCTTCCTGACAACCTGTTTGTGTTTGTGTTTGTTTGGTTTAGGTTGAGAGATATATGCGAAAAAAAAATCAAACAAATAAACCGAAAAAAATGACAACAGTATCGACGGAAGTAAATAATAATAATAATAATCAAAAGTATGCTGCTGTGTAAATAGACTTTTTTCTGAAAAAAAACAAAGCGAATAAAAGACACACTTGTGTTGAAATAGACAATAATAATGATGGGCGTTGTTATATGTCCGGTCTGTATTTGAATTGAAAGAAAGAATAATTTCTATTTCAACCCAATCGATCAATCAATCAATCAAATCGAACCAAAAACAAGGTTATAATCATCATCATCTTATCAGATCTTTTTTTGGATAAAAATAATGAGCACTAAAGATAACAAGCAAGCAAAAAATCGGAATCAAAAAAACATTTTTTATCGGCTAAATCTACCCAAAATGCAACTTTTTTCTTTCATCATCATTATCGAAACAAAGTCAGACATTTTTTTTTCGTTTGTTTACATTGCAAAAAGTCATTGCCATCATCATTTCATTTTCGTCTCAAATTTTTTGTTGTTGTTTTGGCTACTGTTTTTTTTTCGATTGATTATCAATCAATCAATCAAAAACAAGTCCCCAAAAATAGAAAGTTATTTTGACAATTTTCAGTCAGATATGATCTGTCTATCCTGATCAATCATATCAATAAAAATGAATATTCCGGGCCATAAAGGGTTTTGCTAATTGAATTTTTTGTCTTCGGTTCGAGACGATTGTTACAAGGTTTTTTTTCGAAATTTGTCGTCAGTATTCAGTTTTTTAGACGAAAAATTGCCTGAAACAATCAGTCAGTCAGTCGCCGTATTGTCGTCCCAACATGTAATGATACAATCAACGGACAATATTTGGTCAAATCGTGACCAAAAACAACAAAACAACAAAAAAAAAGACATTCAAGGTAACTCAGGGTTGAAAAACTGAAATGATAATTTGGATGGACTTTTTTTTCTTCTTCTGGTTGCTGTTGTTGAATGATTATGTAATTTTGCTATGTAATAGTGTTAATTATACAATTTCTGTTGTTGTTGTTGAAATGATGATGTCTTCTATGAGAATAATGGGATAATTTTTTTGTTTCTTTTCATGAAATTACATTTGGTTGGTTACTTGGTTACATCTCTCAACAAAGCTGACATAAAAATTATTATTATCTTGATAAATGATCAAAAAAAAACTGAATCATAATAATTCAACCAAACAACAACAACAAAAAACCAGACTAAACAACAACAACAAGTTCTGTCCATATTAACCCTTTTTTTTCCATTTCATTTCATTCGGTTATATTAAACACGCAGGTAGACTTTGAACTCTTTGAACATCATCATCAATGTTGATGTTTTATTGTCACGGCTTCTTTTTTCAGGTTCAGGTTTTTTTTCTGCTTGTTTCAAATCACAATGACACATTAGGTAATCTTTTCTTTTCTGTATGAATCATATTGATAAAAAAACTTTTATGTAAAAACAGCAGCAGCAAAGACTTAAAGAACCTGTTATGTTACCTGCTTGCTGTTGTTGTTGGTGACGCATCAATGAAATTAAAAAAAACTGATGCGGCACATTAGATGATAACGATGATAATGATGCTAATGAAAAAAAAATTGCAGCATCGTTAATATAAATGATGATGATGATGAGAAAAAACTTTTTTTTTCTTCTATTTCTACCTGTGTTTGTTGTCCAGTCATGTTTTTTTTGAAGACCTTGAGTCATCATTATCATCAGTTTTATCTAAAGAAACTCTTCTTTTTTTCAATTTTTATTTCCATTTCTATCCAAGTGATACCTTCATCATCATCATCAAGGATGACGAAACCAGTATCGTTTGTTTGACAGTTTTTTTTTCAAGCAAAAGAAACTTGAACTTTTTAAATGTTTGCAAAAATCTTTTTCAAATGATGTGATGTGATGTGATATAATCATCAAACAAACGCATGTCCTTGATGATCAAATCTCAAAAGGTGGTACCAAAAAGGTTCACCACCTGAACAAAAACACCACCACCTGAACATTGAAAACACCTGAATCCATAAATTGAACCGGTTGATGACTAAAACAACCACAACCCTGAACAACAACAACAACCGAATGATTTCTAGTCTAGATCACTGATAATAAAAAAAGAAAGGTACCCTTTTTTTTCTTTTATTTTATGGCCAATTTTCTACCTTGATGTTTCTACCTTTTTTGATTGTTATGATTTGATTAATCATCAACAATAACAACAACAACAAAGAAGATAATAAAACTTACTTACATCATGTTTCATGTTGAAGAAAAAAAATGGGTGATGTGTGATCACATCAACTTTGGTTCAACCTAACCCAATCAATCAAACAAACAAACAAATAACATAACATTCATCATAATCATCATTCATTCATGATTCATCAATCGAATCATTTATGAATCAATCGAATGAATCATCGATTGATCGATCTTGATTGATACCGATTTTTTTTTCGTGTTCGAGTCGAAATATTAGATCGATTTTTTCTTTCTTTTCTTAATCAGATAAAATTATCATCATTATGATTAGTATTTATAGATAGACATGATTATCCTATTTTGACATTGATTGGCATCCTTTTATTATGTTTCGTTTTTTGGGTTTTTGATTGACAGCCGACCGGATTTCTTTCTGAAAAATTTTCTACTTCTTCGGCAAGAAAGAGAGAGAGAGAAAGATTTATCTTGATCTTGAAAAAAGTTAGTTTCTGTGTAAAGATTTTGATTTTTAATTTAAATTTTAACTGAAAAATAAAAAAAAATCACAGGGAAAGAAAAACCAAGGAAGCCAATTTACAAGAACACAAACGAAAAGATTAAAGTTTTAGAAAATTATCTTCAGTTAATCAATGGGGAAAAAAAAGAATTAATATCCAACGAAAAGTGAGAAAAAAAAGAGAGATAAATGATTCAAATGAAAAAAAGGTTTCCTAAATAAAGATTTTGCGGTCTTCGAAAATTTGTCAAAAAAAAATTTTCCACCAGGCCCTCATTTATCCATCATCAATCGATTCTGTGATGATAATGACGGTCGAACGACGCATGGTCTGTTTTCCATCATCATCATCATCACACCATAATCCTAAAAAAAAATTATCATTTTTTTCGTTCATCACTTAATTGCTTTTTTGACAAAATGATAATCATCATCATCATCGATTTAATCGTAATCAGTTAATGTTTATCATTATCATTTATAAAACCAGCAACAAATGTATTTTACTGGTATGTTTTTTTCATTAGAAGCCAGAAAAAAAAGACTTGAAAATGATAATCATAATCATAAAGTAAAGTAAAATGAAAATTATCATCAAAGATTTTTTATTTATCTACCACCATCACCAACATTATAATGATATTTTTTTTTCCAATTGAATTGATAAAACTTGTTGCTTGCTTGTTTTATTTTTGTGTTTTTCTGGTGATCCGATCAGATCTTATTTGAAAATGAAACAAAAAACACTTTTTTTTCTCTGTTGGTTTCTTTGTTTATTCTGGCTATTAGTTGATAATAACGAAGGAAATATTAACCAAATATTACCATAGTGAAAAGAACTTATCACTCCAAAAGTGAACTCAATTAAATCTCTGGTTGACTTTTTTTGTTTTTGGATCGAAAATAATAATAACAAAAATCAGGTAGCATTTTTTTTTTGGTTTCAAAAAATCCATCAATCAATCAAGATGGAAAAGTTTTTTGTTTGTTGAAAATCAGAGCGATAAAAACCTTAAGTGAGAAACATGAGCAATTTTCCGGGAAAATCAAAAATTTTTTTGCCCGATTTTTTTTATTTGCTTCGTTAATTTTATGATTCATAATATATATTTGATTTCCGTCGTTACTAAAGACAAATATTGCATTTTTTTTTCTTTTCCGATTGGAAATTTTCTTGGAAATCGACCAAAAACAACAAAAACAACGACAAGAAACATGCAATAAACTTACGTTTAGCAAATGAAGAAATAATGAATAAAAATTGTATTAATAAGAAGAGAAATATTTGATGATGATAAAGATGAAATGATGATTTAAAAATAAATTTCCTTCTCGTTGTTGTTGTTGACATTTTTGTTAAGGTGATGAACTTTGGCATCGTTAATTTTGTTGAAAGTAAGGATGATGATAACAAAGATGACAAGTTGTTGTCTTTGTTGTTGTTTTCCATACTTGTCATGCTTGGATCATCAAATGATGAAGGAATTTAAATTTAATTAACAAACAAAAAGACACGGAAATACATTACACCCACACATGTAAACAAAATCAAAAAATAAACAAAAAAACGAAAAACGTTGATTAAAAATATGCCATGATACGAATTTTCAGAAAAATCAAGCTTTTTTGGCGCGTATTTTATTTTCGAAAAAACCAAAATTCAAAATCGAAAAATCAGATTCTCTCCCGGGTTGATCCAAATGTGGATTATCTCTACATTGAACAACAACAACAACAAAGATGCGCGCGTAAATAACAAAAACCAAATTTCAAAAAAAAAAAAGTTTTTCGGGTACAACTTTGAATGAAACAACGACAAAATTTGAACTGAAAATAATGTTCAGCTCACTTCATTTCATTGTGAACGACACGACCAAGAACATTTTGTTGTTTTGGAGAAAAAAAAACTTTTAATGTTTTTGTAGCAACGGTTGTTATTCAGTTACAACAACAACAACAACAACAACATAGACGTAAAGCCCAATGAAAATGTTGGAGATAAATGCTGCTGCTGTTGTTGCTCAAAAACAAAATCCCAACAATATATGACCATTTGCGATGATAAATGCGGGTAATAAACGACGAAAAACATAGTGGTCTTAAGTCATGATACAGATACAAGTGTTTTTACCATTTTGGATTGTGGATAACAAACACACACAACAGAGAGAATGAAAACTTGTTGCTGCTGTTGACGATGATAATGGTGGTGGTTCGATGTTGATGGCTCTTCACGAAATCTTTTTTTTTTTCTTCATTCGAATCGTTCTCTGTTCTGAAGATCTGTGTTCTGTGTTTGCTGCTGCTGCACCTTTGTTTTTTTGTTCAGAAAAAAAAAGATTCAAAGTCTGAATGAAACAAAAAAAAAACTGGATGGAAAAAAGCGCGGGCGAACGAACAAAGCTTATGAACAAGGTTTTTTTCTTTCACTATTCAAATTTGGTCATATAACGCGCGCACTATGACCTTTCTTTCTTTTTACCTTATCTTTCTTGTTGTTGTTGTTGTTGAACGAATTTGGTTTGATCTTTGCTGTGTTTGGTTGGTGTGGCGTGTGTTTGTTTTAAAAGAAGAAGAAGAAAAAACGGGAAGGAAACAAAGCAAAAAACCTGGTCCTACCTGTACAAACATAACCTAACCTTGTGCCAACATAGTCATTGTGTGTGTTTGTATTTGGTTTGTTGGCGAAAATCAGGGGGGTAGTTCGATCGTCGAGTAACAACACTTAAGAAGAAAAAAAAGCCATAAGAACACTATGGTTAAACACAACAGGTGTGTGTGTATGTGTGTTTCATTATTTAATAATACCTGGGTTGTTTGGTTGGTTGATTTTTGATAGGTAAAAAAAAAAGTACACAACATATAAAAAAAACTCCTGCTGGTCTATATGTTCAATATGATTATCATCATCATCATCGTCTTCAATCAATCTTTGTAATAAGATAAAGTACATAATGGTAAGGTCTGGTAATCATGAAAAACGACGACGACGACGATGATGACCACGAATTCGGCTCGTAAATTATCGTTATTATTTTATTTTTTTCCAACCATATGGCCATCATTATTTGGTGGACCTTGGATCCAAAGAACAAACGATAAAGACGAAGAAATTGACTTTGAAAGAAGCCCGAAAATGATATTCGAAAGAATTAGAGATTTTCGTTGCAAAAAAAAAACCAAAAAAAATAGGAAATCGAAAATGATTATTCTTCGATTCTAATCATAACATTCGAAAAATCGAATGTTATGATTACAGTCATCTCTCTCTCTCTCTCTCGTCTTGTTTTTTTTGATGACATTGGATAATAATCATCATCACTAATCATCCATATCAACAATTTTTTTGTTTTGTTTTGTTTGTTTGTCACAAGAAATTATTATTATCATCATTTTTTTCTACTTTTGATTTAATAATGATGATCATGTTACCTGTTGTAAATGATAAATAATAAAAAAATGTGTCCATATAATTATCAAAAAACATGGATATTGTGGATGTCAACCTAGGTATGATGATAATAAAAATGTTTTTGTTGTTGTTGTTTATCGAATCAGAGAAAAATACATTTGATGGGAATGATGCTAACTTATGACATTTTCTCATGGCCAAGACCATGATACAGAATTTTTTTTAATTTTATTTTTGGTGTGTGTGAATCTAACCTAGGTAGGAAAAAAAACTCAAATTGTCATCATCAACAACAATAATGACCATGTGACTTAAATCGAAAGTGATGGTTGGATGTGTAGATGACAACGGATCAGGATACACTTGTGTGTTTATAGCGCGTACACTTGAGAAAAAAATCATTTTTAATGTTTGTTTGTTTTTTTCGTAAACGATGATGATGGTTATGTCAATATAGAAATTTTTTTGTTTTGTTTTTCCTTTTTTTTGGGTCAAACGAAATCAAAAATTGCACGAAGAGTAAAAAGACAATAGATTTTGGATAATGTTTTTTGATTTTGATTTTTCAATGTGACGATAATTTTGATGACAATTTTGTTTGTTTGTTTGTTTGTTTGTGTTTAGTTCAGTTCAGGTCAAGACTTTTGAATGTTGGATTGAATGATTGAAAACAAACAAACATTTAGCATTCATTTCATCCTTTGTTTTCAATTCATTTCATCATTTTAACTACGACGAGGAAAGAATTTATAATGAATTTATTATTTAAAAAGTTAATTATTTTATGATTATAATGGTGGTGGTGGAATAATTTTATCTCTAAAAAAGCAATTCTTTTTTACAAGTGTTATCATTAATCATTTTATTAGCTGTTTTTTTAGTTTAGTTATTTTTTTTTTTGGTCAATTGACATTGATCCGGTCGATGACATAATCAAATGTAATTTTCCACCGAAAACTGTTGATAATGATTTTTTTTTGTTGTTGATGAAAAACAGACCTTGTTGAGCTAATAATGACTATGGATTTCCAAATAAGGAATATTTATCATCAACAACAACAACATTGATGATTGATGAGATAAAGCAATGACATCGATGAGATGGGTGTAAATTATTTTACAAAATTTTTTTTTTTTTTCGGGAAAAAATTTTCAAATTTGAATTTTCTCTCAGTGCCATCTACAGGATTCGAATGTAAAAATCAATGAAAAAGTTTTTTTTGGAAACTTTTTTCATTTTTGTTCAAAAGAATTTTTCCCGTAAATTTCATATTCACATGTGTGTTATTTTGCTGAAATTTTTAAAATTTTTAATTTTTTTTGAAAAAAAATCAGTAAAAATAAAAAAAACAAAATATGAATCGTTTTGCTGCTTTTGCTAAAAATTTATTTCTAACAATTAAATATCATCATAGAATTTCCAGATTCAATTTGGATCATTTTTTTGATCGTAAGTGCTGTGGTAAAATCATTTTCTTTTCTTGATTTTGTAAATTTTTTCATTCATTCTCCCTGTAGATACTTCTCCAGCAGCAATCCAGATTGTTCAATTATCTCTGCCCGGCGCCACATCACAATCAACATCGATTAATGAATTAATGCAAGATGGTTTATTGTGGGGAGTACCGAAAAAGCGAAGAACCGCTGAAAAGCGTTTACATCGTCGATTTGGTGTGGAAAATTATCCGGATTCGGCAAAAATTTTACGTACACGAAATGATCTTGTTGTTTGTGAACGATGTGGTGATCATCATGAATATTATGCCATATGTCCAACATGTTATTCAAAAGTAAAAGAAGAAACAAAACGTATGCAAGATCAATTACGTCAACAAACAAATCCATTACAACCAAAAGAAAAGGATATTTTATTTCGTTATGAAAATGAAAAAAATGATGAATCTTTTACTAGTCAACAACAACAACAAAAAAATGAATTTTTTCAAATTATAGACATTGATCATCCACGACCACAATGGTTTAGTAGAAATTTAATGATAAAATCAACCGGATCAACAAATTATAATCCACGAGATGTTATTATGGATCCAAAAGATTTAATTTCAAATAATAAAAAAGATGAAAATTGAATTCGCATTGTCCATTCATCATCGTTGCCATCCATTCATTCGCCATTATTCAAATCAAATTGCATTTTTAAAAAAAATTTTCAATGATAAAATGATAATTTAATTAAATTCAAAATAAAGAAAAGAAAAATCTTAACAAATATTATTAATGGAAAATATAATCGTTTTTTTTTGTTTGGCTGATTTTTTTTGAACAAAATTAGACAAGTTAAATTTGTTTTTTGTTTATTTCAGGGGGGGTTATAACAGAATTTTGTGATATGATGATTTTAACACAATTTAAAAAACAATCGTTTATTATGTAAAGATAGATATTTATCATTGTAAAAGTTCTTTAGTCAAGTTTTGGTTTATAAGATTTTGTTGTTGTTGATACTTTAGGCACTTTTTTGTTTGTTTCCAAAAATTCACAAAATTTCAAGTGTTAATGTTTTTGGCAAAGAATTCAATAATTTTTTTTTTGGTAAAGAAATAAAATAAAAAATTTGTGCGTCAAACAAAAGAAAGAAAAAAAAATATTTGAAAATGAAAATATTCGGATGTGTGGTAGATGTGGATGAATATATGGATGACTAAAACAAGGCAACAAAGTAAAATGGCAAAAGTTAAATAATAATATATTATATTTATGTGTGTCACAAGTAAGTTAACAAAGTATCGATTAAAGGTCGATCGATTTTGTAATTTGTATTGATTGATTGATTAATGTTAATTTTCTTGATGAAAATGATGAGGATGATTATGATTGAATGTTTGTTGTTGTTGTTGATCTTGTTGTTGATAATAAGTATTATTAAATTGTTGTACCGAAGTGAAACCAAAATCTTTTTCATCTGGTGGCCTATTACCATATTTGGCACGATTAATTGCAGCCAATTTTTCCCTAGCTTCAACTAATTCTCTTTCTTTTTTTAATATTTCTTCACGTGCAACAATTTCCTGTGTAATTCCTTGTACACGACGTTTACTAATGATTAAATTTTGTTCTTCTTCTTGTTCGATTGCTTGTTGTGCTGCGCGAACCAAATTATCCGTTGCTTTTTTCACTGCATTTCCGGCTGTTTGCAGCCGTTTCATTGCTTGTGATTCAGGATCGGCTTTAACTTTACAAGCAACCAATAATTGTGCAGTTGAACTTGCTACTTGTTTTGCAGCTGAAATTAATTTCTCTTCCGATGCTTGTCCAAGAACTAAAGCATTTGCAGCTTCAACTAAACTATGTGTAGCAGCAGCCACGTGTCGGGAAGCCGAAATTAATCCTTCAGACCATTGATCATCATCGGAAAATTGATGAACACCACCACCATGTGCATCAACTTTACCCGTTGCAACTAATTCTTTTTGGGCATTTGATGCAGCCCGAATAAGCATTGCTGTTGCCTGTGCAATCGATTTAGCCGCTTCCAATATGATTTCATCAAAATTCAGATCTTCATCGGGAAGCTGTAATGAGAAACATCAATGAATTAATGAAGCAATCAATTAATCAATCGATAAAAAGTCACAAATAAACACAAAATGGATGAATCAAATCAAAACGTTTGGATTATATGTCTGATTCTTGGTTGATTTGTATAGCATAAGTACAACCAAGAATATCAAACATATCACCAAAAGAATGATTAAAAGTGATGATAAAAATGATAAATTTCAATTTGAATATTTTGACTTACCTTAATACTATCGATACGTGGTTGAAGATTGGCAAGTTTTTTGGCTGCTAAATCAATTGATGATGCAGCACCTAGCAATTCATTTTCAGCAATAACAGTTGGATCTTCTGGATCAACCCAATCAACATTTTTCAACATTTCAGCTAATGATACAATTTCGGTAACCGATGCAGCAATCGTTCGTGACATTTGATATAATTGTTGTTTAACATCGTTTACATTTGTTGGACGTTGTAGAATATGGAAAATAATTTTCAATAATTGTTGATAATCATATGAACATTTTTTTCCAGCATCTAATATACGTATTTTTATCTCTTGATTATCAGCCAACAAAGCAGCTGATTTACACACCTGTAACAAATCATGAATAGCTTTTCGACCCATATTTGCAACAACAATAATATCATCTTGTTGTCCACTAGTACCAGCAGCAACTGCTTTTGCTGTTGCCATTGTTACCGGTTTGGTTGCTCGAATTAAATGTTCCGGTGTTACATCTTGATTAATATACATACTACCACTATCATAGCTACGGATTTCACCTTCAATTCCATCGATTGTTGCTTCCAGCGCACGTGTTCCACGTTGTTGTTCATCTTCAACTGTTTTTACTGTTTTTAATAATGATGTAACGTTGGTTACCATTACCTGTAATCACACAAAATAAATGTTAATGTAAAATTTAAATGTAAATAATAAATTATAATTTACCTTGGCCGAATCTTTCAAATGCATCATCGCTGGATCATTGATATTTTTACCCGATGCTGTTTTCGTTGCATCAATCAATTCATTCAATGCAATAGCAACATCTTTTACCGAATTCAATAACATAACTTGTGCTTCGGAATTATTCGATCCTAATGTTGCTGCTCCTTGTTTGACAGCGGTTGTTAATTGTGTTATAGTTTGGACAGCATTTTGTGCAGCAACAGCTAATGCTTCCTGGCTGGAAGCAGCACCAGCTACCAATGTTTTTGTATCTTCAACCAATGCTTTGGCTGTTTTAAGAATTTCATCTTTATAAATACCAAATGAATCATTTGGATCTTCAGGATTCAAGGCACCAGAATTTGCAAATAAAATTGTTGTATCAATATCGCCGATAATTCCCTGTACAGAATTGGCAGCCATAATACAAGCCTGAGTTCCACGAGATCCAGCTTGAAATGCAGCTAAAACATATGAACATTTTTCCGAAACATTTCGTGCACTATCAGTCAGTTCACGTTGACTATATGAATCACCTGGATTAGTCAGACAGGAACCAGCATTTTTTACAATATCAACACATGCTGTACCAAGTTCTTGTACACTACTTTTAATACGTGATGCAGTCTACAACGCAATGAAATGACAAAAAAAATATTTTTTCAAATGTGAAATTCATTGCATATTTTTTGGCTGAAAAACAAAACATACCTCAATATTATTGGTAGCAGCAGCAATACCATTAACATCATTTGCTAAATTGGCATAATTTTCCGATAAACGTGTACATAGTGAACCAAGTTGTGATACCTGTGTTGATGATTTAGCACTCTAAAGTAACAAATGAAAACAAACAGAATTTAGTTAATTAAAACCATCATTGTCATCCAGTATTAACTATCACTTACCATATCTTGTGCTATTCTAGCAATATCTTTAACATTGGCAACCATTCTTGTTTGATAATCAACATATGAAAGATTATCTGGACTTGATCCACTACCATTTGAATAAATAGCCGATGATGCAGTAATACGGGTTAATGATTTTGTCAATTGTTCAATAATACTATTAACATGTCCTTCTTCCGATGCAGCTGATTGCATTAGATTTTCAAAATTTTTTATAGCATTTTTCATATCTTGACTTGAATCTTCAATTTCACTATGCAGTGATGTTGCTTTTGGATTACCACCACATTCTTTTACAGTATAAATCAGTTGTAATGCACTTTCACAAACTGCTTTTGATTTATCTAAAATTTGATTTTGTTGTTTATCATCCGGTATTTTTGATGCATAACCAATTGAATTTGATACTAACAAATCAAAATATCCAATCAATTGTGTTATTGAATGACCTAATTTTTCGGCTTTTGATTTTCCAGCCACACGAACTGGATCAATATTTTCACGAATTTCCGAAAGTGATGCACTAACAGCTTCACGAAAACCTTTAGCTGTATTATCATTACGTACATGTAGTATTTTATTGATTGCATCCAATGATGATTGATCCAATTTTTTAATACAACTACCCAATTTTTCCAGTGCATCATCACATTCATTTTGACCAGGTGAAGCATCTTTAATCGAAGTGACCAATTTTTTTATTGAATCACTAACATTTTTACTATGATTAGCAAGAATTTGCCAACCAGGTGGATCTTTCGGGTTGATGGCCAATGTTTTTGCCGACATAATCATATTGGATGATGCATCAATTATAGCTTTGCCATATTGTGTAATTGGTTGTTGATGTTGACGTGCTTTCCCGCTTATTTGTGCCGGTACTGATGCAAATTCCGGACTATTTGCAAATGAAATTAAATTATCCACCGATTCCAATAATGGCCGAGTTGCAATTCGACAATTTTCATTCATATGTGCAGCAGATGATTCTTCCAATGGTTTAATTTCTTTAATCAATGTTGCTGTTGCATTTGCAACATCTTTAGCTGATTGTACGAAATTTTTTCGATGATATGGATTCTGTGTACGTGATGATGCAACACGACATGCATTACATAAATTCGAAGTTGATTTGGCAATATCCGTTGCACAACGTATTATCTGATCTTTAGTTGCAGCCGGTGCGGTCAGTTGTGCACATGCATTATGTATAGTTTCCTGGCAACGATTCAATAGATTTATATCGATAATACCAGCACGACCAGCAATACTAGTTGGATCAGATGCACCAACTAAATAAGCAGCTTGTGCTGCACCTTCCAACAAACCACAAACCGAATCCGATGCATCACGTACCGATTCACCAAAACTTTCATGTTCATTTCTTCGGGCATTATTAGCAATACCAGTCATAGCATCACCTAAACGACGACTTTTTTCCGTTACCAATTCTAAACATTCAAAATATGTTGAATCATTCAGTTGAATGGATGGATTATCCAAATATGAACGCATCATTTGAATATTTTGTATTGCTTGGTCACATTCTTTTTGTCCTGGAGCCGATGATGAACAAATATCCAACAAATTACTTATACTTTGTGTAACTGAACGTGCTGCAGCAGCCATTTGACTACTTGAATTCGGTGCATTTGGATCGGCGGATACGGTTTTGGCTGATTGTAAAAATCGACTTGAAGATGCGGATAGATCATCTAAACAAGAACGAATTTGTTGTTTAACCAGATTGTCCGATGTTTGTCCGGAAATTTCATTTGTCAATTCAAATAATGTTGAATAATGAAGGGCAAAATTTTTCGATACAGGTGCCAATTTCGATGGTAAACGTGATGATTCAATTACTTCGGATGTTGATTCATTCAAACGTGTTGCAGCCATTTGAATATCATTTTGCAGTTCAGCATATGATTTATGTGATGAATAATGATGATCAAGGGTTAATGAACGAGTTGAATCGGAAATCTGACGAATAGAATCATCCAAATCTTTATGACTTGGCAAACAAGTTACACAATTTTGTAATGCACTTGATAATGATTTAGCAATATTTGTTAAACGTTGATGTCGTTCTGAATCCTGGCTATTTTCCAATGCCCAACGTATCTCTTCGAATAATGTAACCGATAATTCAAGAATTTGATTTGAATGATCCAATACTTGCATTTGTACATCACGTTCATTAGCAGTTGCAGCAACACCCCTTGCTGAACTGGTTAAATTTTTTAATGAACTTGTTACTTCACGAGATGCTGTCCCAATATAATTTTGTTCACCTTGTGATGTTGCACTTAACAGTTGTGCCATTGCTGATGCAACTGATTTACAAGCAGAATTCAATCGTGATGAACAGTGATCAAAATTATCACCAGGTAATGGTTTTAATGAATGTTTCAGCGCAGCCATACGACATTCAGATAATTCTATATTCAATTGACGAATATTATCAATTGCAGCATTAATTTCATTTGAAAAACTACATGCTTCGGATGCTTTTGTTAAACAACTACGTAATTCGGATAATGCTTCGGCTAATTGTTGAGCTGATTGTGTCAGCTGTATGGATGCTGATTTATCCGATATAGTTGGCGAAGATGATAGCGAAACATTTGCCAATCGAAGCGAAGGACCCATAAAATTTTCACATGAATTTATTAATTGTGATTGTTTTGTTGAATTATTTGGTTCATTATGATAGGCTTTTATACTACTGACAACCGGTGGAATTGAACCATTCACTTCACGACATAATTGATTCATTTCATTTTGATTCGGTCCGTTTTGATTGTATGGTGCACAACCATGTACGGCAGCAATATTCTGTGTAGCCATTGCAGTAGCATGTTTTGCAGTTGCTTCCAAACGATTCATTAGTTTTTGTTTCAATGCATTACTTGCGGCTGTATTCGTTGCATTACGTAAATCTTCTGCTGCAGCCCGTAATGCTGCTTGTGAATTTGAATCATTTGGATTCGTAGCACATCCTTTTGCAGCTTCAACCAAACGTGATGTAGCATCAGCAAGGCTTTTTGCCGCCGATAGTAAACGTTTTTGTATATCAGAATCTGGTTGGGTTTCAGCTTGACCTTTAATATTCTGTATTAATTGTGATGTAGCCTGTGCAAGAATTTTTGCCTGTTTAACCATTTCAGATGCATCACCAGTACTACTAAACAAACGATCAGTAGCATCGAGAATAGTATCTACAGCACCATCATCACCAGGTTGTTTTCGTCCACGATGTCCAGTCGAACCCAATGATCGTACATAATTCAATAGATTATTTAAAGCATCATTAACTTCACCAGCAGCTTGATCAACTTGACCATTTAAATGATAATCTTGTATTGAATCTTTACAAACACGATTAATATTATCAACTGCTTTGCTAACTTCTTTCGAAGCATCAACAATTTGTTTTTGACAATTTGGACTATGTATAGTTGGAGCGACAACTTTTGCACATGAAACTAATTGTGATGTAGCTAGAGCACATTGTGTTGCAGCACTAATTACACGATTTTTTGATGCTTGATCATCACATCTACTGGCAACATCTTTTGCTTTCAATACTAATTTTGCTGTTGCATTTGCTACCGGTTTTGATAGTGACAATAATGTATCCGATGCTTCACGATCCATATTTTCATCATCAATATTATAAAGGAGGTTTGATGTTGCATCACTAACTTTATTGGCAGCTGTAATTAAATTCTGTCGCGGTACATTATTTGATGGTTCGGCTGCACGTAATAAATCCGAAAATGCATTACATAAATTTCGGGCTGCATCAATCAAACGATCACCACGATCATGATCATCCGATAGTGCAGCAATCATTTTAACATCTTTTGCCATTGCCGGTAGATTTGTTGTAATTTGACTAATAGCAGCACCTAAAGCAGGATGATCAACTTCTTCTTCGGGTACTGAAGTCAGGGTTAAAACTTGTGCAGTTGCTGCATTCAATGCAGCCATTTGTGATGATACTGTTGCCTTTTTAACATCCAATTGATCTTGTTTATAACCCAGATCTGGTCCATATTCCGGTATGATTGCTTTGGAATCTAATTCATTCAATGCTTTTTGTACTGCATCTTGACCAGTACCAATAGTACCAAGCAAAGCACGTTGTGGATCTGACAGTCCAGTTTGTAGATATTTTGGATGTTGTGCAGCCATAACTGGTGATTGTGTTAGCGTTGGTTGTGATTGTACAATTGGGATTTGTTTTACTTCTGGTATTTGATCAATTTTTAATAATTGTGGACCACCAGTACCAGTTCGAATGATACCTGGTATGGCAACATCTTCAATAATTGGCCGTGATGGTTTTGCATCTGGTTGATGTTGCATAATGGTTGCTTTGGATGGTGATACTGAATCTTCAATCATAGCCGATCCTTCATCACCATCAATACCAAAATGATCTTTTGCTTTTTTACGTCTCAGTATGATATCAATATAACCACCAATTAATTTTGAAATTTGTTCACCTTCCGTTGTTTGTACTGAATAATAACTATCTGAATAATCACCAAAATCCAGTGTAAAACTATTTGGTGTTGGTGCCCAACGTTTTACTGTTGTTAATGGCCATGTTTTCAATATTTCTTTAGTTTTTTCATCCAACCGCAGTACACTATCTTTAGTGACGCCTAATAATCTTGGTACCAATTTATTTTTACCTTGCATTTTTTCTTTAACCAAGAAAAATGTAACACCATATGTTTTCAACAATCTTGCTTTGGTTACATAAAGAACTTTTGCATCCAGATTATTAACACGACCAATATGTTTTTTATGTTCCATAAAAATACGTTTTTCAATATTTTTTTGTTTCAGATAATCTTTTGGTAGGTAATTTTTCAAATCTAAAAATCCTTGTTTATGTTTAGTTTCAACATAATCACCATGATCAATTTGACATTGAATACCGGCAAATTCACATGCTTGTTCCAATGTAACTGGATGTTGTCCATTTATAATAGCATCTCTGGTTTGTACATATAATAAATGTAATTGCATTGGATCACGTGAATCAATATTTTGATCTGAATAAAAATATTTTCGTCGAAACACCAGGGTTGTCGAAGGGTTAATATCTTGTTCTTCAAGAGTTTTCGAATGATCAATCCAATTCATATCATCATCAATTTTTAATTTACGTTTTAATTGTTCCATTTTTTGATCTTGTTTATTTTTACGTAAAGTGTTACGCATTAATGTTCCACCGCCGGTGCTGCCACCATTCATTGTACCATTCATTGTACCGTTAATGTTATTGCTGATATTTTCCATTTCCATTGATGGTTCCAATGATTCACGACAAAGTGAATATTCTTCATAATTTGCAACACCTAATTTATCGCATATAATTGGCATCAAATTCTCTACCGTTTGACTTGAATCAACATTTATTGTTTTGATTGATTCATCTAGCAAACGAATTTTTAATGGACGAATTTTATTACGAAATTCAATACAAGCATCATCACGAAGTAGGTAATATTGTAATTCACGTTCAGGATCCAACCAGAATCCAGTTTTTATTCCATTTTCTTCTTTAAATGCATATAATGCATAATCGGAACCTATAAGTAAAATGAAGAGAAAAGAAAAAATCATGCAATTTTTCTCATTTAAAAAACTAACAATTTTCGTTCCTAATTAACCCTTTAACTTCCAATTTAAATTTCTAAATTTTAAAAGATTTTTTTTTTGAAAAAAAAGATTTTCACTTACTTTTACCCATTTTAACACGACGATCATTTTGTTTTGAATAAATTTCTTCAATTGCTTTTCTCACTTTCATCGATGAATCTAATTGAATTTTTTTGATTGTTGTTTCGGGTGATTCTGGACCACCAGGAAAATGTATTTTTAATGATAATTTTGACATTTTTGTTTGTTTGTTTTTTGGCTGTTTTCGTTTTTTGGCTAAGAAGATTTCACATTTAAAAAATTTTAATGAAAAAAATAAGGCATATGATGTGTGTGTGGAAGGCCGTTGGTTTTGATCAAGTCCAAAATTGTGTGTGTGATATGTCTTGTGTCACATAAGCCAAGTATAGGTTTTCGCTTGTTTTTCAATCTAAGCCAAAAATAAGGGAGAAAAAAATAAGGGAAAAAACAAAATGAACATTTCAATAAATGACAAAAAAGTTATTCAAACATTTGTTTCATTGACCCTGTGATAAATGCTTCAAAACCAAATTAAGCAAACACAACACACACACTTATGACATAATGATAAAATCTCTTTTTTTATTTCATCCAAAATACTGACAATTTAAGCACTAAACAACAACAACAATAAACTCATAACCATAGCACGTGTTTCATTCGTCGTCGTCGTCATCATCAAATAAAAATGTCCCGGAGAAAATCAACGCAAGCGGTTATTCAAGGGAAAAAAAAGACATTAATAAATTTCCATTGAATTCTCGGGCCAACGAATGACTAGAGTGATTCTGTATAACAACAACAATTTACAGTGATTCTTTACGGATCATCAGACAAAAAACGATTCATTCGATTCGATTCAATGAAATGATGGATGAAAATTTTGATTCAAAAAGAAGTCAAGTTAAATTAATACACATTTTTGCTTCAATTTGATTTAATTTAATTATCATCATCGTTGAATGCAAAAACAACAACAAATTCAGAACTGAAACAAACAGGGATATCACATTTTTTTTGGGAACCGAAATAAACAAATAAAATTCTGAGAATGGTTATGATAACCAAAAAAATTTCCATTTTTATGATTATATTTTTGTTTCACTGTTCGTTCGTAAAGTTCGGTGCAGTTTGTGTTTCGACATCGATGACAGGGCCAAAATAAAATAAAACAAACAATATATATAAACCAATGATGCTTCGGGTCGGTTATAATCAAGGAGAAGAGAGAATCGAGAGAAAAAAAAACTAATTTGATAAATGGACACAACTGGAATTTATTTGGAGATTCTCGAACAAAAAAATGATGATGATGAAAACGACATTGATTTGAAAACGAAAAAAAAATGTAACTTACAAATCTTTTTTCACTTCCAAAAGTGAGTGTGTGTTTTTAGTCGAAAAAAAAACAAAATCAGAAAAACAAAATCGATACAAAACAGAAATAAAAAAGGACAGGAAAAATGAAATGGAAAAAAATGTTATCTATTTTATGTTCAATGGCGGATACAAATTTATTATTTTCCTTTGTTTGCCATTGATTGCTTGCCTGGTTGAATGTTGTTTGTTATTGGTTGAATGAATGATGATGATATATTTGGGGAAAAACAACAACAACAACAACAAGAAAAACACTGTTAAATAATATCAACAACAACGGTCATGATTTGATCGAATAAACTATCCTCATCATCAATGGAAACAAAACAAAACGAGAAAAAAAACAAACCAGGAAAGAGGTATATATCGAGTGAGTTTATGGAGAAATTTTTTCTTTTGTTCACTAGAAAATCTTTTTTTTAGCCAAAAAAAAAAATCAAATTGAAAATTAATCTCGAAAAAAACAAACAAAGAATTTTAATGAAATTCGTCTTATTTCATCATTTAAACATTACCCATTTTGTTGATGATTCGTCGTCGTCGTCGACGTTGTCATCACCCGTCGTAATTATCATTAACATTATTATTATCATAATAATTAACGTGTAGGCGTTTTTTTTTGTGTAAAGAGATTGCAATATTCACAAGAATCAAGAATCAAGAAAATTATCAATGAAAATTCTGTTGATAATGATGATTGCTTTCTCACAATTTTAGTAAAAAACAACAACAAAACAAAAATTTATAAAAATAGAATGAATTTTTTTTTTATTTAGGACAAATTGCAAACAAACAAACAGAGTAAACTGAAAGAATAAAAAGTTATGAACCGAATCTACCGGAATCAAAGTTGTAAATGACAACAAGAAAAAGTTTTCGTTTCTTCTGTTCAACACAATTAAAGTTTACCAACCAACCAAAACACAACATAATGTTACACTATATTACACCGTCATCGATTCTTGTTGAAATAGTGGATCGGGATACCGTTTTTTTTTTGAAATTTAAAGAATCCTGTATATTTTTCGGTTTTGAAAACGAAACAAAACAGAAAAAGAAAATGACGCATTTTCGGACAGCGCATGACGGTAATTCCAAATGAATTCTGGGATGGTGCACTATTTCAGAGTTCTGTTTGTGTGTGTTTGTTTCAAATGTTGTACATATATAGAGAGAGATTGCGAAAACAAAAACGAAAAAAACGGTAAAAATAAGGCTGGAACAATATTTGTTTGTTGGAACATATATGGACAATTGAATCTTTGGAGCCAATGAATGATTCTCTGCGAGTGTGACTTATGATTGGACCATTTTATTGGATTTCGGTATTTTTTTCGCTCTTTTCACTGGTAATGTGTATATAGTGGAACTATGTGGAATCCAAATATACATATAGCGAGAATATATTCCTGAAAAAATGTAATTAGGAGCCTATAGGTTTTATTTCTAATATCAAAAACATACAACACAGGCGGGTTTTTTTTCCATCATGAAAATTTTCAAACCAAAAAATGGTTGACAAACACCACACACTTGGATGAAATTAGAAGGCATTTAGTGTGCCAAAGTTATATATTGCAAGTGTCGACTATATCGACTATATTGGTGTTTCTTTTGAAATAAGAAAAGAAAAAAATGAAGAAATTCTAGGCGGATTCTGAATTTTGTTTTCGGGTTCAGGGTGTGTGCAATGGAGACATTGGATGATGACTAACTAAACTAAAGATGAATGACTAAGAGAAAAATCATCGTTCATCGACCGGAGAGAAAGATTTCAATTCAATTCAATTTTTTTGCTATTTGTGTAGAAATAGTCAAACAAAAAGAAGAGAGATAGGAAACGGAAATGACTGGAAGTTCATGGATTTTATTTCAGTGAAGAAAAATACCCGAAAATCCGATCCAAATGAAAAAACGAACGGGACTATTTTTGACGGATTCATTCATTAAATACAATGCGAAACTACAGAATATTCCAACAACAAAAAAAAAGATTCAAAAAGATTCTAATGATGTACATTCATAAAACAGATTCTCTCTCTCTCTCTCTCTCTCTCTCTCTCTCTCTCTCTCGCTCTCCGGACAGAATAAAAGTTTTTTTTCATTCATTCATTCATTTTTTATTATCATTTTTTTTGTCTAAGTTGAAAATAAGAATGACAACAACGAACAACCGAACAACCAAAAATACGAAATTGATGATGCTAGTTGTGGGTTAAGAGGGCCTGGTTGTTTTTCATTTTATTCTGTTATTTATGGAAGGGACTATTATAAAATGAAAAAAAATAACGATTCTGGTCGAAAAAATTCTACCACCATCATCATCATGATGAAAAGTTTTGATGATGACCATCATGGTCATCAAGTTAAACACAAGCCACAAAATCTTTATTTTGCCGACAAAACTTTTCTCTCTTTTTTCCCTTGTCATTTTGGATTCTTTCAAGATTTAATGACGGTCGTTGTTGTCCGTTGACAACCAAACAATCAACGATGGACCAATCATTAAGAAAATGGGAATGAAAATCGGTTTTTTTTTCTTTCTTTCATTTGTGACATCCGTCGGTTATGATGATGATGATCGTTGGTTGATGTGATTGTCCACCCGTAAAATCATCAACAACAACAACGAAAATGAATTTTTTTTTGAATTTAAAGAGAAAAAAAATTGAAATTATGCTTGACGACAACAACCAGAATCAGAATCAGAATCAAAAGAATCTCTTAAATGATTACATTTTGGATTCTGGGGATCCAGAATCGAAACAAAACAAAAAAGTTTCTCTCTCTCTCTCTCTCTCTCTCTTGTCGTCGTCGTCGTTTCATGTGTGTGACAATAAATAAGACAAAGATGTAACAAACAATCAACCAACCAAACAAACGACGACGACGACAATAAAACAAAAAAAAACAAAATAATTAATTCATCGACCCAAACAAAAAATACAGTTAATGACTGAGAGTTGGGGAGCGAAAGATGGAAACAACAATATAAAAAAAATTGATGCGGACAAACAACGATGCAATATAATATCCAACAACAACAGTAGAAACTTTTCGAGAAACTAAACAGCCAATCAATTAATAACCAAGCAAAGAAGAAGAAAAGTCAGAAAAAAAAGTCAAGTCATCATAGATAAAAGGAAATGGATACATTGGATCATGATGATGGGTGATGGGCGACTTTTTTTGGTCGTTTTTTTTCTAGTCGCTTTTTTTCTGCTTTGAAATTGTATTCAGCACTTTTTGAAAATGGATTGATATGCAAGCAACGAACGAACGAACGAAATCATCAATTCAGAAAACATTAAGAGTCAAGTTTTTTTCTGCTCTTTTTTTTCTGATTCTTGATTCTCGATTTTGTTGTTGTTTGGTTGTTGTTCATTCAACCCATCAACATCATCAAAAAAAAAAAGAATCGGGAAAAAATCCAGCCAGAAAAAAAACAACTAACCCGAAAAAAACAAGCAAAAAAAACTTGGATTCGAATCAACCATGTGAAAGATTTTTTTTTTTTTTTTTTGCTTTTCAGTCAGAAAAAAAACGATGTTAGACATCTATATCTGACTGGGTGTGATGATGATGATACCCGACTGAAAACATTGAAGGAATAGAAAAAAAACATTGGACAAACCCAAATACACACCAAAAAACACCAAAATACAAACGCAAAATGGATGTTATTTAAACAGAAAAAAATGGAATCAAAGAAAAAAATGAAATATCGATGACATGGTACCGAATAACCAAACCGAATATATCTTATGGATTTTCAATGATGATTTCTGAAAATGGATTTTTTGTTTTGTTTTGTCTTTTCATCGTTTGCTCGTTTGAAAATGTATCATCGATGACTGATGATGGATATTTTTTGTTTCGAGATCATAATGGTCGTTTGGTTGATTCGTTTTTTGTTTCGTATTTTTGTGGATGACTAAATTGAAAAGTGATGAGCCGAGTGGAATTCTGAATTCTGAACCGATCCTGAAAACACTGACTAAAAGAGACTGAATCGAATCGAAAATTCAACCAAAAAAAAGCGAAACCAATCAACAACATAGGAAACAAGAGAGAAGAGAAATCAGAATTTTCTCTTTTTGACTTGTCATCATCATCGTCATGAATGAATGAATTCAAATTTAGGAATCGATCGGAAACGATCAATATATGAAAATATATAGGGGAAATGGGAAATGAATAGGAAATAACCAACGAAATGAACATTCATTTCGAAAATATAGGAAATGTGTTTCGGAAAATAACAACAACAACAACAATCGTCGTTTGTCGTCGTCGTAAATATATTCAATCAACGTTATTCTCTCACAGAGAGATGGGATGGGAAAAAGCTATATGGATGGATGTTTTTTGAGGAAAAAGAACCTGAAACAAAATCTTTTCAGTGGAAGATGATGATGATATCAATGTTCGCTTGTCGAATTGAATGTTTATGACTGAAAAGATGAATAATTTTTGGATTGAAAAGATGAAAAAATGAAGAAGAAAATTCCTACGCGAAAATTGATAAATTATAATGATGATAATTTGCTTTCTTTTGTACTTGGTACTTGTCTCATCTCATCATCATAATCATCATTGCTGAAATGAAATGAATGAAAATTTGAAAATTGAAATAATTTCTTTTTGCAAGACAAAAAGAAAAAACCGAACATTACCCGGGTTAGGGTCGATAAAGAAAAAAACTATTTAAATCAAACCAAAACAAAAGAAAAGAAATGAAAAAAAGATAATTTCATTAGCATCCTCCCTCCCCTATCATCATCAACATCATCAGTTTCGGAAATTATTATAAATTAAATCATCATCATCATCATCATAATAATCATTCCATTTTTTTTGATTTAGACATTTTCATTAGTTATATTCTTTGAAGCCGGGATGCAATTCAATTTGTAAATTATTATCCATACATAAATTATACCACACACACACACACAGACAGACACCACGCACAATATGAATTTTCTTGTGAATCAAAAGTCAAGAAATTGAGAAAAAATGGGTTCGTCAGATAGCATCATTGATCTTTGCTTTTAAGCATTCTTTTGTCATCATTTTTTTTAACTTTTGATTCGGCTTTTTTTTCGGAAAAAAAGAATATCAAAAAGAGGTGACATGGCAAAAAATGAAATGAAATGACAAAGAGAGAATACTCACTTTCAATATATAATAAAAAATGATTTTGTAGTTTCACCCAGTTATGTGTGCGTACGTGTTAATGATTGGTAAATCAATCGATCAGTTATTATGAGGAGGCATTCATTTCGATTTTACAGGTCGATCAAAAAAAAGGTGACAAAATGAATTTTCAAAGTTAAATATTTTTTCTGTAAAAAAAACCGAAACAAAAGTTTAATTTTAGAAGAAGAAAAAAAAACTCATTGCTCTGGTGTGTGTTCTACATTTTCACTTGTCACGAATAAAAAATAGCTCTAGATTCCGGTAATGTAGGTTTTTGCTGTTTTTTTGGCATCAAAAACAATCGAGGCTGGTTGGTTTTTTTTGGCAAACGAACAACAACCGAAAAATTGTGACAAAAACTTTCACTTTTTTACAGTTAAAATTAGGAAAAACAAAAAAAAATTAAAAATATCAGTCGGCTTGAGGGAAAGAAACCGAAAAAAACATCCCGAATAATAACGATGTGGATGAATGAAAAACAACACAGAAAATTCAGGTCATGAAAATTTCTCAGAAAAAACTTAAAGAATTAAGCAAAAAAACTTACCTCTAAATTTGTTTGTTTCAAATAGGAAAAAATTCAAACAAAAAATCACATAGACGATGACATGGATTTCATTTTTTGTTTTCAAAATGAAAGCAATGCCTAAACTACACAAAAACCACACACTATACACACGTACACTTGATGTGAAATTGATGGCCACCGGAAATTTGCCAAGTCTTTTTGGCGAACAGCAACAACAACACAGCCACAACGCGTGTAAAGAGAGAGAAATTAATAATGAAAACATCAACAGAACAAACAAATTAAGCAAGTCTAAAGTTATGATTCAATACAAAGAGAGAGAGAATATTTTCTAATTTGACAAAAAAAAAGATTGAATGAAATGAGAAAAAAAAACAGGTAAGAAAAAAAGTTTTTTCGAGGACGAAAAACGTGGGCATCATCACCATATTGGCTGTATGTGTGTGTTTACGATATACACAGCACACTATTTTTCGATCCATAAATAGTCAAAAAAGATGTCTGTTTTAGGCAATTTTAGCATTAGTACATGGTTAACACATATACAAATCCAATGAATGAAAATTTTGAAAAGAAAAGAAAAAATCAAAAATCAAAGAGAAAAACAATTTTGATTTTGTTTCTTTTGGATTTTGAAATTATAATTTCAGATTTTCATTCAGAAGAAATTATTTTTTGTGTGGTCGGTGTAAAATGAATGAGAGAAAATCCGAATAAGAATTAGCTTAAAAAACAAATTTCCATGTTGGGAATTTGTAAAAGAAAAAAATGTAATGTTTTGTCAATAACATTACATTACATTATTATTATTATGAAAAAAATTGAAAAATTCCATTGTCAAATAAGGATAAACAAAGTTATTTAGTCGGTTATTTTCATTAATAATGGAGAAAAACTATAAATAAATCAATCAATACAAAAAATTTGTTTGTAAATAATCTATTTTATATAACGGTATTGTCATTATAATTTTGTAGAAACTTTTATTAACCCCGAACTATGATGACCATTATAAAAAAAATTTTTCATTTTGTAATAATCTTTATGATGATAATATTGTTATTATCCTGGAAAAAAAACGAAACAAAACCATTCAATGAATGTTGAGAAGAATAATTTTTCATAACTTTTCGCATCATCATTATTATCAGCATTATCAACGAAAACATATATGGGTAAACAAAACAACACTACAAGGGGTCATATCTCTCATCATCATCATCATCATTATGTGTTTTTATTATCATTTTTCATTTTGTTGTTGTTGTTGTTTAGGAACAAAACAACAACAACAAAATATGAATTTTATTTTCAGGAAATGTTGTTCATCAACATCAACAACAAAGCACAAGCGGCAAAAAACATTCAAACACAAAAAACATGAATGACGTTATTCAACAACGACGAAAACAATGAACTTATAATGTGACCTTATGTTTTTTTTTACATTTTTTGTTTTCAATTTTTTTTTAAATATGCATCATTAAAAAGAGAGAGAGATAATGATGATTATGATCCATAAACCACAACTATATTCACCCTAACGACCACAAATGATGAAATGAATTTAGTAACAAATAACCACCGGTTTTTTTTAGTTTAACCACAAACGATGATGATGGTAATCATCATTATCATTATTTATTATCACTTTTTTTTAAAAAGTTTAAAGATTTTTTTTTTAAAACATAATGATAGCGATAACGAATCATTAAACATGAATGATTCATTTTTATATTTTTGTGATTCTAAAGATTAGATTTTATCTCAGTTGAATAAAGTGTTTTGAGCAAACAAAAAACGAAACTTGTAATTGAAAAAACAAAAAATCTTTCTATTGATTTTCAAGATTTTATCATTTTGAAATTTTAAAAAATTAAAATTTTAAAAAATTTTCTTTTAAAAAAAACTTACCCAACAAGGATTGTGTGTAGGTGGTTGGCTACCTCTTCTTCTTCTTCTTCTTCCGGTATTTTGAATTCTGGCCAAAAAAAAAGTTTTAAGAGAAAAAAATAACGATATAAATAACGATACAGGATGATTAATAATCACACAGAAAACAAAACAAAAACAAAAACAAAAAAGTTAAAAAATCATTGGATTTTTACAGAGAATCATCATCATTATTAACACATAGCGCGCAGGGCGTCACATTGGTAATGAACCATTTCAAACAAACAACCTTTACCAACGAATGTTGATGTTGGATGTGTACCGGGGAGAAGATTGGAAAAAAAGTAACTGAAAAAACAGAAAACAAGGGAGAAAAAAATGATAAAATCTATAATTTATGGCCAAACACACACACACACAGAAAGATGGAGAGAAAAACATGCACAAAAATGAATTTTGATCAATCGATCGATCATCAGGTTGGATGATTTATTGGAAAATTCAAAAAGGTAACAAAAATTTTTGGCGCCAAATTCAAAAAATCAGAAAATCATGATTCTAGGTTTTTTGGGATTTTTTGGGAAAACAAACGAACGAAAAATCAAATTTGATAACTTTTTTTAAACTTTGGTAAAGAATTTATGAAACAAAAAAACAAACTTAACGAACGAATATCAAATTGAAATGAAATGATCATCCAGCCAAAATATCAATGATGATGATGATGTTTTGTCGTTGCTGATCGTTGTTAGTTTGCTGTCGAGCCCAATCATCCCACACAAACATTCTACATCATACACAGATCATCGTCAAACGACGAAAATAACGATGACGACGACTACGCCGACACAAATCATATCAACAACGAATGAAACATGGCAAACAAACAAGCAAATTTGTTATTTTGAAAAAAAATGGAAAAAATACAGTGATTTTTGGTGGCCATGCCACCAATTTGGTTTGATTTTTTCATTTTATTTCATTTCGTCGTTGTCGTTTCTATGCAAATAGAAAATGATGATGATCAGGACACAAAAAAATGATACAGGATATTATTTAAAAACAAACAAACAAACACAGGATTAATGAAATGATGATAGTGATGGACGATTAAAAAAAAATTTTTTTTTGTTAATCGACAACGAACAAAAAAAAAATCATCATTATTTATGAAGAAGCAGCATCAGAAATTAGAAAAGAAAAATTAGGTGTTGTTCGCCAATATATATAGAACACGCGTGGGTTAATCTTGTTTCGTTTCTTAGTTTTTTTTTTTTTTTTTTTTTGGTTTAATCCCGGGTTTTCAAAAAAAAAAAAAAAAAAAAAAAGCAGCCAAACAAACGAAAAACAAAA